TCCCACGAGCAGCTGCAGCCCGAGAGAAAGAGTGACGAGCAACGTCAAGCAATCAACCGGGAGAAAGGGCGGAAAGCACCAAGCATCGACCAAGCCAGCATCGCAGAGAATCAGCTGCACGCACAACCGGGCATCGCCAGAAAGCACGGAGCTAGAGAAAGAGCGCAGCAGCGCCACCAGCGCCACCGAGCAAGGGTGTCAGCTGCCAGCGGACAAGCGGCGAGTGCTATTGAGCACCTTCAAAGACAAGCGTCGTGCCGACTCAGCTCATCCAGCAGGGGAAAGAGCCTGACCAGCCTGAGGAAGAGGAGAGCGCCGGCGAGAGAGCCGTGGGGATAAAAGCCACACACACCGACCAGCACCAGCTGGGAACCAAGACAAGAGTGAGGAACGGCGACCAATGGACGAGCTGCCGGCGCTATCTGACGACGTAATCATCGCGCACAACCGACGGCGAGCGTCGTGCCGACCCTCTTCCTCCAGCAGTGGACAAGCAGCTGCAGCTGTTGCCGAGCGAGAGAGAGAGATCGAGGGCGCCGTGTGTATGACCCTCCCCCACACTCACCCACCCACAACGCATCGCCCGGCGTTTGCTTGATGCAAAGAATTGATCAAGGAGACAAAACCACCAACCCCACAAGACCCAACCTAAAAAATCCGGGACAGTCAACTCTGCTTGACGTCCTATTGACAAATGCCCCTCACAATTTAGCACTGACTGGTGTTCTGGGTAATAACCTTAGTGATCACTCCTTCATTTTTGGTGTGAGATCATCAGCCAGACCCAAAGCCCCCCCTAAAATTGTTGAGAAGCACTCTTTGAGGCACTTCAGCACTCAGGCATTTACAAATGATGTGCTTCACTCGGATATTGATAAGGTCTGTGATATCCCCAACCTGACTACGGCTTGGGAGACTTTCAGGTACACGTTTCTCCAAATTCTTAACAAACATGCTCCGTTGGTTAGATTTAAAACTAAAGGCAACCGCCCACCATGGTATGATCCTTTGATTACAAAGCTCATGAAAACTAGGGACAAGGCTTGGGCATGTGCTCAGAAAAGTAATTTGGTAAATGACTGGCTAGAATACAGGATTTTAAGGAATAGATGCGTAAAAAAAATACGGCATGCAAAAAATGCCTACTTTTCCTCCACTCTCCTAGAATCACATGGAAATGCCAGGATTTTTTGGAAAACAATCAAATCTATCGAAAAGGCATCCAAAACAGAAAATCTGCCCGTTGAGCTTCACCGAAATGGGGAATATTATTCAGATCCCCAAAAAATAGTTGACAATTTTAACCTTCATTTTTCTGAAGCTGGTAATCTTTTTGATAATGTTTTGGTAGTCACCCCTGCTCCTGCAAATTCCTACACCCCTGTCCAAACATTAAACGAATTTAGTTTCCAACCAATCCATGAAAGTAATGTTCTGAAACAACTGTCCTACCTCAAAGGGTCCTCCTCTACCGGAGCAGATAGTTTTCCCGTCTTTGCTCTACTAACTGTTGGTCACCTAATATACAAACCTATAGCCCATATTTTCAACCTGTCCATCAAAGAAGCATCAGTTCCTCTAGAATGGAAACATTCCTATGTCCGTCCACTTCACAAAGGGGGCCCTAAAGATGATCCCAATAACTACCGACCTATCTCAATTCTGTCCCCATTGATGAAAATTTTGAAAAATTATTGAACTACCAAATTAGCAGTTTCCTGTCCAGCAACAATCTACTACATCTAAAACAATCTGGGTTCGCGAAAAAAATACAGCACCACATCTGCTGCATTAGACTCTTTGAATCAAATTTACAATAGCCTTGATAATAAGCAGTACTGTGCCTGTCTTTTTCTTGACTTGTCCAAAGCTTCTGATACAGTAGACCACAACACCCTGCTGAGTAAACTAAGTTGCCTTGGTTTTTCCGAGAACACAGTACAATGGTTAAAAAAATACCTCTTTTCTCGCACCCAAACTGTATTCACAGATGGTTGGAGGTCAAACAGTGTTAAGATAAAAAAGGGATTCCACAGGGTTCCATCCTCGGCCCCCTCTTGTTCTCTCTTTATGTCAATGACTTGGGCACTGAACTGGATCATTCCAGGGTAAATCTTTTTGCAGATGACACGATACTGATTACTGCTGGCCGCTCTCCGGATGACGTGATTGCTAAGCTCCAGGGTGATTTCAACAAACTACAACAGCAGCTAGTTTCTCTTAAACTAGTCCTGAATACCTCCAAACCAAGGTGCTATGCTTCTCTCCGGGACTAAAGCAGGAAGTTATTTTTCCCCAATTACATTCCTTGAATAATTATCAAATAGAGCAAGTCAAGATCTATAAGCATCTTGGGGTCATCCTGGATTCAAAACTTAGTTTTGAAGATCACATTGATTATATTGGTAAAAAGACAAAAATAAAAATTGGTTTTCTGTATCGACACAAGCACTGCTTCCCCCCCAATGTTCCGTTTGGAATTGATAAAAGCTACAATACTGCCTCTACTTGACTACTGTGACATCGTGTATAAATCAGCCCCAAGTACTGTACTGAAGAAGCTTGATTCCATCTATCACTCGGCCTTAAGATTTGCATTGAAGTGCCCATATAGGACTCACCACTGTGATCTCTACATTGGGTCAAACTTAACATCTCTTAATGTTCGACGGCTTGTGCACCAGATCTTATTTATTCACGATGTACTTACAAAAAATTCCGCAGACTACCTACTGGATCTCCTCTCTGTTTTAAAGAACAAATTTGACCTCAGGTCTTCGCTCATTTGCTATTGATGCCCCCAGGGTCTGGAATGCTATTGCCAATAAACTGCAACTTGAATCACTACCTATGAGATCTTCACTCAAAACTGCTCTAGAGGAGTTGTACAACCCTAGCTGCCACTGCTATCCAGTGGCCTAAAATATGGCTCTAGATTTTGGTGTTATAATTTATTTATGTAGTTTATTGTTAAAAATTCGGTCACAGTCCCTATGATCACTGTTACATTGCATTTATGGCTTCTATTTTGGTGATTTCAAAAAGTTTTTTTTAGTTTTGGCCATGTTTTTGTTTATTGTAGTACGGAGTTGGACTGATGGCCTTAATCTTAGTTGTCTTGTGGTTGTTGTTGTTATTTGATTTGCATCCCACTGGGATTTTTGCACACAGCGTTGGTGTACGGTGCTATTTCAGGAATATTTTGATATTTTTTTCCTGGATTTTCTGTTTGCACAGTCACATAATCACTTTAAGATGTTTTCTTGTTCATGTTTTTTGTTTGTTGCGGTTGCACCCGATTCAAGAGCCGAATGGCTCACAGGGTTATACCAAATAAATGAACTATGAACTATGAAGTATGAACCAACACACACATACTGTAAAGCACATACCGGGACTAATAATTAGAAGACTAATGATAAGAGTGCATAAATTATTAGCTGATCATGAAGAACATTGCTGCCCATTGCGTTACGTGGATAGTCGTTTAGAAGTATTTTAGTCGTCATTTTTGTGAATTGCATAACTTTACCAATGAATTCATTGATTAAACTAAACGTTTAGAAACGTACGTTACGAATCCACACACTCACAGGGAGACTATTGTGTTGAAATCTTTCTTTTGATCACATAATCTTGAAGCCTTAGCCAATCGATAAGCATTTGCTGAAGCAGGCACACTGCCGCACACATTGTTCCAAGACATTTCGTTAATTACATAATCTTACCAATGAATTCATTGAGGTCTACTTTTGCCTTCGGGATATGTTTCTTTATTGCCGTTCGTATGAATATCGTCACATTAATTTTTAAGGACTTCTTCCTATTGCCATATATGCTCGCGCTACTCTGAGGAATTTATCGATTGTTCTGTTACCCAGTTAACAAACGTAATCATTGAGGGTTAAATGTACGGATCAATGAGGAGAACGTCTCCAGGAGTACTGTGTTGACAATTCCAAGCATAAGAGTTCGCATATGAGAATGCTATGTTTTTTTTAGAGATTAAAGAAGTGTCTGAGTGGTGCCTTCCCAAGTTCATGCATAATAATATTAATTATAAGAACTGTATCCTGCGGTGAGATTTGAATTTGGAGACCGGACATAAAAACACTAATACATAATCAGTAAACGTTAAAGCGAAAATAATTGTATTATCCTGCTTGAGAATACAACCCTAGACAATGAAGCCGAGCTTAATCAGCAAAATTACATCACACTTGCATAACTTGATACAATTAATTGTATTATCCCGATTGATAATACGACCCTTGGACAACGAGGCAGAACCAAATTATCTTAACTGTGTGCATTAGCATAATCGCATACATTTGCATAACTTAATACAATTACACCTCCCCAATTAGCATAAATTATCTGCATACTTACATAAATTAGCCTAATTTCGGATACTTTTTATTATTTTTATTAAATTTTCAAGACCCGACATATACAACACCCCCCCCACCCCCATTCATAATAATTAGTGGGTGACGTCACTCCACATGGGGGGCCGAGGGGCCTCCTCCCCCCTCCTTGGCGTCAACTTAAACCTCTCACTACAAAGCCAGAACTCTCACGTCACACAATCTCCGTAATGCTAATTAGACATCAAAGTTAAAAGGACGTCATGATGAACAAGGGATTATAACCTTAAAATGAAATAGGTCTGTGTCACCGCGCCCTTACAAATTGCACATCCACTGATGCAATATCACGCCGCAGTCTGCTTTTTGCTTGCAAGTTTAAGATTTACTGCAATACACCCGTCCAAGGACGGGCAAAAGGCTAGTATTTTAATAACATTCCACCGGTTTATGCAAAGTGATATGTACCACGTGCAATGTTTTAACATTGCGTTTGTAATAAAAATGCACCCAGAAACACGCAATTTTAAACGCCTGCATATTATGTGTTCGTTTACTCATCGATGAATGAATGAGTGCGGTGAGGTTTTTCCACGTTCGGCAATGCCAACGAGTGTCACACGAGGCCCTCACCCTGCGCACGTGCTCCTGCAGGCCGTCCAGCCCGAACGAGCGAATCACAAACCACAGCTTGAGCGAGCGGAAACGCACAGTCAGCGGGATCTGCCAGTGCTGCACAAGACGTCACTTCAGATTGGCATCATCGTCATAATAATAATAACAACCAACGTCATCATCATCACTGTCATTTTAGTTTGTGTCGATCGCCGAAAGAATTAGGTTATTATATTCATTTCAGGAAATGTGAAGAAATTGTTGGGCGAACTCGTGGACCGTGATGCAGTGGGGTAACGACATTAAGGGGGTCCGGCAATCGGTGAGGTGGGGCCCTAATACAGCTGCAATTAAAATAAAACGTGCAATGTAAATGAAAGCATTTTAATAAAATTTAATTAAAACCGCGGGTGTATTTAAGTTTTTGTTATTTTACACTGTTGGAAACATATCTCATGGTAGTTGTCATGGGGGCCCCAACTCATAGCCTTGGCCACCAGGGCGGGTGGTGGGGTCGAGGCACCCCCTGCACCCACGCTAGTTACACTACTGCTGTGATGCCCTTCCACTGCTATTTAAGGACCCCCCCCCCTTCTCTGTTTTATGCCGACCGACTGATGCCCCACCACTCCCCCTGTGAAAACTGAAAATAATCTATCCGAGCCACGTTGCGACAGGGAATTTATTATTGAACACTTTTGTTTCTGCAACATTTTACATTTCTCACGTGACAAAGTTGTTTTTGCGCTCATTTCTATTTGCTTATCTTCTGTACGTACTTTATTTATTTTTCCTTTGTCATTTTTGTCACCCAGTTCACCCTCTCGAACGAGGCTACTCTGGTCAATCCAGGAGTTTTCACCTGGTTAACCAATATCCACTTGAAACTTATCTGAAATGCACTGGGATTATCGCTTAATAAAATGAGGACAATTAGTTGAAATGAAAAGAATTGAAAAGTATATATATAAATTGGAGGTGGACAAAATACACTCACCATGAGGTCGGTGACCGAACCGGAGTGTTCGTGCTTTAAGTAGTGCGGCTCCACGCAGAACGTGCTCTGCAGACTCCGCTTGTCCGCCACCCTGGCACAGTGAGTCGGGCTCTTAGCGTACGTTGAGGGTGCAGCAGTTGGGCATCGAATAATTCATCCTCACAGGGACGCAATGAATTATTATTCAGATTCGTGATTCGATTCAAGAAGAGATTCTGTTTTGTCCCGTTTTTACCGTCACGTTTTTGAAGTTTCACTGTTGTATCACAGTTTTATCCTAAAAGTGGCAGCATTATTAATATATGGTTTGAATAAACCTCACCAGATTATTACATGAACGATTTGATGGATGCATCATGAACTGGTGCATCGTTACATGCATACAGCAAATAATTGTACAACCTGGCACCAGAAAGTTAAAGGTAGTGCAAGGGCAGTAGTGGCACAGTCGTTTGCGCATTCTACTGACCCGCCCTTACTGGACATCTTTTTGGCTCATCATATTCCTCCAGTCTAAATAAAGATTCTGATTCTGCTGGGTACAACCGACCACAGCTAACAACAACAACACGCTGTACAACATTATAAAGAATGGTCAAACAACCTCCATAACCGACGCCGTGTGGGGAGGCCATCCAGCAGTGGATTGAAAAACGAAGTGGGTTTCTACCTGAAACCCAAATAAATGAAGTCGTGCACGAATTTGGCTCCATCATTAAACAGGGTGGATTCCGCACCGGCACTGGTATAACAAGACAGGAAACAGGAAGACTTCTTCACAATTCTGATAAATCGCCTGATGGAGCTGGTTGTAATCACCAGCGAAACGTTATGCTCAAATTGTAAATGTTGTTGGTTTACTCTCCAACACAACGGTGTGCTGAAGTAATAACTAATTGGCACGTTTTGTTTACCTGACAAACCTCACTTGTTGGCTGTGTCGGGTGGTGGTGGGTTAACGACACATTTATATTTACGTAATCTAACCCAAAAACAAGCTTTGCTATGAATAATATTGAAGGTAAACAGGTATAACAACATCACTTTAATCGTGATTCGCCCCTCCAAATATTTGGCATTCTGCTCAAGCTGCCGGTTTCGAGCCGTTACTGACGTCTCTTCTCACCAGAAGACGGTGCAGTCCAGGTTGACCATCATCCACTTGCCCGGGTTGACCACGAACGAGTCGGCGATTTCGATCCCGTGCAGGGGGTCACGCAGCTCGGGACACAGGAATGCAGTGCCCGCGTACGCTGCGTCCACGTGCAGCCACAGCCCCTCCTGGCGGCCTGCGGGGAGCATAGGTGGAGGCAAAGTGAGCGGTTAAACGAATTACACGTGGATGTCTGGATTCTTATTGTAATAGTGTAGCACCATTTGTTGAAAGCAGTGCTGGATTATCCTAGTGTAGTGTCTTCAGAAATTACTCACACTGACACGTTGTAACAAGTCACCTGCTTACACTTTATTCACCTATTATTGCACCAGTTGTAGGCACTCCTATGACTATCTGTATGGTCACTTATTTTTAACCTCTCCCCACTCTTATCTACCTTTCACCTCCCTTATCCTGCACTCAGCAGCTCTGCTCTCAGTGACTCCGCACACAGCGTCCTCGTACACAGCGACTCCGCACACAGCGTCCTCGTACACAGCAACTCCGCACACAGCATTCTCGTACACAGTGACTCCGCACACAGCGTCTCCGCACACAGCGTCTATGCACACAGCGTCCTCGTACACAGCGTCTCTGCACACAGCGTCCTCGTACACAGTGACTCCGCACACAGCATCTCCGCACACAGCGTCTCTGCACACAGCGTCCTCATACACAGCGACTCCGCACACAGTGTCCTCGTACACAGCGACTCCGCACACAGCGTCTTCGCACACAGCGTCTCCGCACACAGCATCTCTGCACACAGCAACTCTACATCTCCACCGCTGCTCTCACCTACGCTCCCTCAGACCGACTCACCCATGTGTCCTGGGCGGGGGGATCAGCTAACACCCGCCCGGCGATGGCGTGAGGGTTGAGGTCCCGTTGACGGCTGGAGCAGCAGAGGCGAGATGTCTTCACACTTGGTCCCCGGCAACAACCCCCTCTCCGCTCACGCACATACCCTTACATCCCTCTGCTAATGATCCGAGACCTCTCGTGCTTCTCTATAGGCTCTCACCAGGCTGGCGCCTGTTGGCCCATAAATCAACCCTTATCTTCCGTCTCCCTGGCAACACCTCCGGTCTCAACGTGCACAACAGGTCGACCCTGTTTGCACTTGCTTCGCCCCTTAACAACTGCCGGTTTGTCCGTGCAAACCCCATGTTGCACACACGCACCTGTTTGGCCTCAGTTTCCCTCGGTTAACTGTGCACACCGCGTATTTCACTCCTCTACACTAGTAGCAAAAATAGCATATGCTACAGGCCCCGCACTTTCAAGGGCCCCGCGCTAAATGCTTTCAAGCTATAAATTCCGGCTCAGTGATTCTGCACTTACTCTATTACTATAGTACGATACAGCCTTCAAATTTTATGAACGACTGGCTGTTCAATGTGTCCTATTATCTGGCTGTATAGCAAATGAAAAAAACCTATTTCTTTACTATGCAAGAATTTGTTTTTGTGTTTTAATATTTACGTGTATTTTTTACTTTAGGGCCCCTTTATAACATATGCTACAGGCCCCACACTAGCTGAATCCGGCACTGGTTTAAAGTATTGTGCAGTAATACAAGCATTTTACATCGTACCTCCATTTAGCAGAGTTGGCTATGTACGGTGCGAAAGTAGTTCAACATACATACATACATGAACACGAGTAAAACATTTGTTTAACATTTTGGCTTTCGCAACCAATATGTATTATGAGTAACAAAATCAGTTTACCTAAGAAATTGTGTCAACACTAAAGCTTGCCTCGATTATTTCAACATCAACATGAGCTATTTATCCAATGCTGTGTGAAGCCCTCAAGGACTGCCAATCTGTCGTTAGTATTAACCACCATTCAGCATCCCCCCTTGCAAAGTGTAATCCCACCTCTCCTAAAAATCAATGTATTTAACTTGTGTACACGTTGTTATCCATGGGCTCCACTTTTGTCTCTGTTATTTATTATTTCACTGGTTGGAATGTACACTCAGTTCTAGGCAGGCAGATTAATTAATGTTTGCTGTACTGCCAAGAAGTAGCAGGACTGCCATGTAGATCTCCTGGCCACCATGTATGGGACCCGAAGTAGGCCAACTAAAGAGCCTGCAACTACTGTTTGTGTTTGCAACTACTCTTTGTGTCTCCTCGCTCTGTCCATAATATTTGTGTGACGATGGTGTGTTGGCGTTCGGTGCATTTCAAATATGGTGTCTCACAGATAGGGCCCAACTCGGACAAGTTGTCAAAGGCGCACACGCCCGTCGATCCAAGGGTCGCACACACCTGTAGGGAGCATGGGAACGATGCACAGCAGCCAGAACAGCCACCACCAGCACACAGATGAGCGGATGATCGACCCAAGAAAACAAACTGGCATAGAAATCCTCAATGTGTATTTAGTGCGAGCAGGTCAGACCTTAGGGGTGGGTGATTCGAGTGGCTAACCAAGACGTAAGACAAAAAGAGGCATTGAAAATGTCTAATGGACACTGACAAGTTGCAGACGTAGGAAGAGAGGGGCACAGAGAATTATAGATGGACACACGATGAGACACAGAGAGCCGGATACACATTGAGAGGCACAAAGAAAAGAAAAACTCGCAGAGAGATATCGAGGCAAAAAGAAAGAAATATATGTTTTATAGTCAGGGTGGACCTGGCACCAAGGCTTTCTGATACATTAACCATAACTTGGTCATCTGTGATATGTTAACACAACTAACTTTGCATATAATGAATCTGATTCGTAAAAGAGTTTAAATTAATAACGATGCCAAAATTAAATGTACTTTAAAATAAGCAACTGAGAAAAATCATCAAAACTATTCATAACTTAGTGACATGTAGAAGATTGTAGAAGGTAGAAAATGTTAGTACAGAATCAGGGATTCCTAGCTGTATCCTTCTCCCATTGTGAAAACAAGCTAACAGTTTGATAATGTTTTTTTAATAATTGGTAGTATCATGGTATAAATGAAGCCTCAACTTACGCACACAATATTTGTGCAAAGAGTGAAGCGACTCACGAAAAACGGGACGAGGCCCTGTGCTCTGTCCTCCTCCACGGCGCGTCGGAGCGTCTCCCCGCGCAGCGAGAACTCCAAGTCCGTGGACAGCGAGCGCAGCCTCACCAGCGACACGAGGCTCGCCTTCAGCACCGACGAGTGAGCCTGGCGGATGTGCGCAAACATTTAGAAAACACGTAATTTTTATAAAACGCACAATAAAAAAAACTAAACACATTTGTCGCCTTAAAATGAGAAAATATATAATAGGTGACGTTTTGGGCAATGGCACTTTTTAAAGATGTGAAATGAATAATGATCATAGCCCTAAATGTCGCCTATTAAAAAAAACATTCTTTTTAAGGTAGTGTTATTGACGAATGTGACCATTTATAAAACATGGAATTTAATTCAAACACACGTTGTTTATCTCCCAAAGCAGATCTTATCGGTAAAGTCACGTAGGTATAAAATAAAACAAATCACGACGTTTCGATCGCAACACAAGCAGTCGTCCTCAAGCGGAAAAAATATAATCCAGCAGTGGAACTGCGATCAAAGCGTCGTGATTTATTTTATTTTATATCTACGTGACTTTACCAAAAGAATCAAAGAGTATGGATTCCTGCAGTCACGAAAGTTTCAAATCAAGATCAGATCTTATCGATTAAAGTAGGAAAACCGAGAAATTGTAAGAGCTGATCGTGGAGCCTTGTCTTTTTAACAATAATGATTTAGATCGATTCATCAATTCACCGCTAGGTGAAGACCTCCTCATGCCGTGTCAGTCATAGTGGTTGTTTAACCATGCTTTGACACGCTGGTCAGTTTAGGTTTGGTGAGGGGGTGGAGGTGGCCATAACTGGTTCAAATATCCTTCATCATAACCATGGCCAGGAATAAAAATCTGTTTTGACTTAAAGCTTTCGTGACTGCAGGAATTCATATTCTTTGGGTCTTTCGGTAAAGTCACATAGAACACAAAAAAATAACAAACAAAAAACTACAACGTTTCGATCGGTTATATCCATCTTCCCGGTTGAAATCTTCACACGAAATTGATTTCTCTACGACGAAGGTACTTTGTAAACCCACTGGCTATCAACAAAGATTCGTTCATGAAGCCATCCAGATATATAGACAAAGACACAATTTCAACCGAAAAGATGGGTACAAACTCAGCAATCATTGGAAGAAACCAGTTTAAGTCATAACTGGCTGTGATGTTTCCATCCTACCTTCCGATGTTAGTTGTTTTTTTCGACTCTCTGATTTTACATGAACAGGTTAAAGTCTCACACTAACACAGCCACCGTCGCTCGCGTCCTCGACGTGGCGGCGGCTCTGCGATCTTACATTATCATACTACTCTCTCACATTACAATAGCCACGTCCATGCCCTCGCCGTGGAAGAAGCCCTGCGATCTTACATTAACATGCAAATTTCTCACTTTAACATCACTCGCCCCGCCCACTTCGTTCATTACCTTTGGGCTACACCCGTTTAAAACCTTTAAAACATCCTGCCTCAGCAGCTTTCCCCCTCTTTTCTCCTCCATGATGACGATTGCTTGTGTTGCGATCGAAACGTCGTAGTTTTTTTGTTCCTTTTTTTGTTCTACGTGACTTTACCGAAAGACCCAAAGAATATAAAAAACTCTGTTTGTTGGGTCCATAATGCTGTGCACTAATCACTGCACCACCACTTCACCCCATAGGGATATCTTTTTTATTTTGTTTTGTAAGCAATGTTCACATTTGTGGGTGAATCACGTTGGGGGTCATCTCGTCGGAAGTGTACGCCAAGCTAGCCTGAAGACTGATCGTATGTCTCAATAACAAAAATTCCAGCAAAAATATAATTTATTTTTCAAGTTTGCTTAAAATAGCTCTTCATTAAATTAACCTGTCGTCGTTATTCCGGCTGAGCCGCCAAAATATTTGATTCATCATTCAAAATACTCATGCAAGGTTTAAGCGATGTTATTCAACATGTGTGGCAATATAGCTTGACGTGACAAAAAAATATATCAACGGTAGTTTTCCTCCTGATAACGATCGCAATGTTGATCTGTGAGCGCACCATCTGATTTACGCAACCGCAGCGCTCCTGGGTGACAATGATCCTCTATGGGGGTGCTCCAAGAAGACTCGGTGCGTGTTAGAGGGCGAGTTATTATCCGGGCGGAGGCGCGCACCTGGTCGGAGGTGTACGCCACGAGGCGCGCGTTGAGGAGCGCGTCCTGTCCCACGTCCACGCGCGCGTCTCCGCGCAGGCGGGCGAGAGCGCGCGTCCGTGCCGCCAGCAGCGCCAGCAGGTTGGATTCGCTCACCGTGGTCTGTGGGACACAGAGAGAGACAAAGGTCCCCCGTATAGCCTTAGCAGACTTATAGGACAAGTGCTCTTTTACGAGCACCTATGAAGGGCCGGCTCAGGCGCACGAGGAAGGTGGGCAGCCAGCATCTCGCCTGATCCCCCTTTGTCTCCCCAGTGGCGATGTTTACACACTGCATCAGGTACTTATTTGTATGTACGTTGAACTTATTTCGCACCGTACGTTGCCAACCGTGATAATCGAAGGTGCGGGGGATGGACAACAAAATAAACACAAAAAGCATCTCTTGAGGCTCAGTCGACTTTGGTTAGGCCCAGAACCGGTTCAGATATTCGTCACTGGAGTTAGCCGTGAGCAGGAATTGAACTGGTCCGTCTGTGGGACACACACAGACACTGTCGCCTCAGACAAGACTGTGGACACGTGCAATTAAACTTAAGCACCTAATTAACCCAAAGCAGTACAAGAGGGAGTGGTGTAAGCGCTGCACCTCTCCACCTTCATATCTCCATATCCATTGTTCACCACGCAGTGCAAGGCTGAGTCGACGTAAGAAATATTAATTCGTCTAATTGCCATCGGTGTCCATGGCCAGGCATCGAACCCAGATTGTTAGGTTTGTGGTAGAGCACGCAAATCATTTTGTGAATATGCTCATGAACGCCTGCACGCACACGCGCAGTTGGTTGGCGATTCTTAAACATCGTATATTAGTGAAGAGGATTCAAATGGAACCCACAATTAGGGGATAGACAATTTTCACATTTATACAACTTTGCTTTGAAAAACATTCAGAGAAGCATGATGTTGATTGTTAAGGTAATCATTTTCAAATGACGACGATGGTGACGGAGATGAAGAGCCTGCAAGACTCCACCACGAGTCCCTTGCACATCTGTACGAGTTTGGACATTTGTACAACTTTCATCGAAAATGAATGAGTCAGAGAAGCATGATGTTGATTGTTATGATAATCGTTTTCGCATGACGACGACAATGGCGATGGTGATGTAGATGAAGCACCTGCATGACTCCGCCACCGCGTCCGCTTGGGTGGTCGTGCCGGAAGGTGTCGGGCAGGGACAGCATGGTCGCCAGCCAGTCCGTCACCACCATCTCCAGCTCCGTGCTGGCCGGGTTCGACGCCTGACCCAGGTCACGCATCCCCCACAACAACAAACACGACGCTCAACCCCAAAACCGCCTACTAACGTTGCTCGTTTTTCGATTTGAAGCTTTCGTGACTGCAAGGATTCATCTTCTTTGGTTCTTTCGGTAAAGTCACGTAGAATGAGAATAAAATAATAAAATAACACAACAAAATTCTCACGACGTTTCGGCCACAACGCAAGCGGCCGAAACGTCGTGAGAATTTTATTGTGTTATTTTATTATTTTATTCTCATTCTACGTGACCTTACCGAAAGAACCAAAGAAGTTGCTCGTTTTGTCGACTCACCGTGCAGTTGTTGCCTGACACCTGCTGGCTGGACGGTCAATGCCAGATGTCTGACTGACTGAACGGAATGGAGTGTCTACGGTTCTCATTTGTACCTATGGGCTCTGCCACATCAATGAATTAAGGAGGCGATGGACACGGCACGCACTATTACTGCAGTTCAACAGCGGAAACATTGAGAGAAGTCACGGAGCTCTGTACGTGAACCTTGTGAACGTTTCCTATCTGTGTGCAAGAGCTGCATATTTCTTCGACACAAGACTCATCCAATGTCAGAGAAACCACCATGACATTGACAAAATTTATCTTAGCGTTGACTACCTCTGGTAAACTCTTACTCCAGTTGACTCTTTGGAAAGCTGGATTTTTGGCCAAGCTTCTTGTATTTTGGTGGGATCAATATGGCCTAGTGTCATCAACTCAGTGACTGAATCAAGGCACTGTGAGGGTCACATCTCACCACCATTTAACAAATTGGATCTTAATCTTGATTTGAAGCTTTCGTGACTGCAGGAATTCATACTCTTTGGTTCTTTCGGTAAAGTCACGTAGATATAAAATAAAATAAATTGGATATTTTGATCAAGTGAACTATCACAGCAGGCTCCAGTGAGTAGACGCACCCGTGCATAACGATTAACACATTTATGCAACATTTGTATGCCTTACGAATCCATCATGCTTGTAACAATGCATTATTGTGTTCACAATACAGAAAATTACGTGTGTATTTGATGATCAGTTATTTTGCATTTAAATATGTTGTATATAAGAGGTTCATATGACCCCTGCAGCCGCTTCAGGCGTTCAATTCATAAAAAGAAATACATCTTGAGTTCAATCATAACCTCACCCTGTGATCAGTTATAGCATCACAGGGAGGCGGACCCATGGATAAGTCTCCCAGCCGTACACCTACCCATGTAAATCCAACGCTGTTCATCCCAGTCGCCAGCATGTCACCCAGGAGTGACGGGTATGAGTTGAGCCCCGGGTAGTACCCGTGCATGTGCGGGCTCTGCCAGTGTACGACCTGCACACGGTACAGTTCACTTACATCAATGCAGTAGTCAATGCGGTAAAATGTAAAATCCAACAGATAATAATAACAATGTCAACTTGTAACGTGGACAGTATTCGCTGACTCTCGTAGAGAAAACAACTCAGATGCACGAGGAATCACAGACAAGCAGAAAGGCGAAAACCAACAATTGTGCAAGCTCTGCGGTTCTCTATATATGAAGGTTTTATCGGCCAATGAATGAGTGTTTAACATGTCGAAAGAAAACACAGCACAAACAGGAAACCCACTCTATCCCATACAGATGGAACAGGTGGAGTCCACACTTGGTGTCCTGCCTTCTGGCAAGCCAGGGTATAACACCTTGACGGCCACGGGAAGGGAGTTTTGCAACATTTGTGCGATGCACCAACCCGCGCCTGCACAGTGCTGGATTACAGGAGTGGGCCACCAGTGCCTTTAAAAAAAAGAATAGTTTCTGCTAAATGGTCAACATCTGCTGAATGGCCATGATCAAAGTCAAATAATGCACGCAGGGTGCGGAAACCACCAAATCACACTGCATGAGCCCAATCTCTTTAGTAACCAGGATTGAGCCTGGTTAGTACTTAGATGAGAGACTGACTGGCAATACCAGGCCTTGTAAAATTGGGCTGTAAGGCAGCCAGGAGATGGCTGAACAGCTATGGATTCTTGAATCAAATTGTGCGGGGCTTTGAGTGTCCCATACTCATATGCGTGGGTTTTCAGGTCCTCTGGTTTCCATCCCTCGCACCACTCGTGAATAGAATTGGCCAAACAATCCCACTGGAAGACTCTCCGATATATAAATAAAAACTGTCATGAATTTCATAGCAATAATTGTAATAGTATCTACGTGGTCAAACACATAACTCCATGCTGTTCAGTGGTGAGCGGTCTCAATTCTAATATTTCCCTCTATTCCTACGTCTTATCCATGTTTCTATGGCTGGGCGCGTTACCCCAGGCATGATGAGCCGCTCCACATCCTTAAAGATTCTCTCCCAGGACTCTCCTTGCTGCGGGGGGCCGGCGGGCAGCAGGGGACGCAGATAGCCGGGCAGCACGGAGGGGTTCACGGACCGCTCACGTAGCCCACGCAGATACATGGCGATGTAGTCCACCATCTCCTTACCTGCGTGCACCGCCGGGGATAGTGCCGGGGATAGGTATGGTAAACTGTGCTTAAGGTAATGGTGCAGCCCTGCAATTTCTTGCAAAGTTCGTGATGATGCCTGCCAGTGATGGTCACATTTGATATAATGCCATCAACTAATGTTAACGTTAACTTGGGTCGTGGTTGCGTATTTATCGGGACTGTTAAGCAAGAACTGGTTTGCAGTATAGCTGCGAAAATGAAATCCCAAAACATGTCAAGCTGCATTTAGAGGCTCTCCATTGCTATTAATGCCGCAAACGGCTTCTCTAGACGCATTGCAAGCTTTGCTAAGTGTTGTTCGTTTGTCTATTCAGTTTTTGAACCAGCTGGCAAGGATTTTTTGCTCTCGCAAAAGCAGACCAAACATCAAACTTTGTGGAGCACTCTTTGTGATTTGGATTTTTGTGCCTGAAATATTGTCAATGGACACCATTTTAAAACGGTCTGAAAGGTAGCGCCAAAACCAATTCATTGTGCTGTCTGAAAAGCATAATGACGTCAACAGACGATTTTCTGGCGAATGGAAATACATCTGAATTTTGACCTTGTACAATATTCTTAAATATGAATTCAAATCATGGAGAAATATACTAGCATAGGTTACTATAATTTTTCGAAGAAAGCTAGATCAGCTGGCCAAATTGCATTTTCTCATGGCATCATCACAAACTCATTGCAGCCATTCCATCCATAGTTATTATAATTATGTAACTCAATTAAATTAAACTTTCCTTTATACTTTTAGAGGATACTTTTTTAAAAAAAAATTCAGAATCACAAGGGTTTTTTTTTTTCCCAAGTAAAGCCCATTGAGCTAAGATGTCCTTTTTCAAGTGCAACTCGGCGGGCAGACATCAAAGAATTCCACAATTAACATCTCGTTGCTGTTCTAATATACAGTTGTCTAAGGGCAGCGCCATATTTGATCGTGTGAGACACTTGGTATATTACTGATAAAGTATTGAGCATAATGTACGTAAGTATTATGCCCAGGCGTCATTCACTATGGGAATTATAATTCGACTAAAATTTCACTGACATGAGATACATAATTATTCAGTTTCTTTACAATTGAACTCATTTAATCATTATATACTTTTGGTGATCTGTGCCTAACGCCTGACACTCTGTACGCTGTGTGTGACGCTGGGTAGGCGACGTGGATTTTCATGCAATAAAAAATAATGAAAAGCGTATTACAATTGTAACTAACAATTGTTAGTTTGTTAGAAGAATAATCATTTTTTTTTCCAAAAATATACCAGCTCCGCTTTTGATGAAACCCAAGTGCGCCCTTGTTTTTGTATTTTATATTTTCGTTTTACACACCTTTAGAGAATAATAATAAATAATATATTCAGTTTATTTGTGCGTGACAATCGTTTTTTGGATATCGAATATAAATAGAAATAAAGAAGCAGAATCACTTTTAATTTCACTTTCATGACTTTTGCTCGCATTTATAGTGGAAATTTGTGAAAATTAGTGAACACCGACCTCTCCCCTTCCAATCAATAATAAGTAGTGACTTTTCTCAAATTCACATAAATTCAGAATCCCGTGAGCTATTGTAACTGAGTGAAGTTCATTTTTTTTAAAGCGACCATCTGCTCACATTTTTAGCGAAAATGAAATCGTTTATTTTTTTAATGATCAATACAATTCCTAAAACAATTGCACATTTGCAACAAATAGACGTCGAGAACTAAGTGTTTATATTATTTTCTTCACTCTTACAGGTGACGAAAATGTTACGTTTGGAAAACCAATTTTTTTTATTTAAACATATCGTGCTTATAACCTTACGATGAAGGTGATTTACAATTGTAATGATTTATTTACAGGTTTTGTAATACCGTACATTCAGTACATCACATTCCGTAATTTATATTTCATTCAGATGAAACCAGAAGGGTCTGCACACGAAAGAAGACGTCGATTAAACAGAGAAAGACAGCAGAGATGGCGTAATTGACAAAGTGAAGAAACACTGGATCGTTTACGATGTGAAAATACCCGTCATATGACGGCTGATTACGCTAGTTGTTACTATTATAATTGGCACCATTGTGTAGTGAATTCAACTCACCTCGATTTCGGTATTCATCATTGTCCATTGTGCTGCTGCCTGGTCGTGATACGGTTGGTGAGCTGCTGGGCTGGTTGATGTTTATCGGTGGTGAGCTATAATATACGTTTTTTGGGTTATATCGCATATATATTTACTGAATGTATTTACGCGATCTAAACAAAACAAAAACTGTATTATGGATGTTATCGGTCGCGAAAGTCGACGTGTAGTGGTGAGCCGCTGTACCTCCATGTAACTCACGCAGCTGCAGAGAGTTGTTTATCTGCAAGCTGTCTGTCAATCAGAGAATGGGTGCTGATGTGGTAAATTATCTATGTGGAAAATTATTATTGTGGTAAATGATCTATTAGGGGTCAGAGTGACTATTTACGCTCTGCACATTGTAAACCTGCTCTCGTATCCCAACACTGTGTACACAAATTGGGAAGAGGAAAAGCATTCCTGAAGTAATTTACGATGTGCATGAATGTGGAAGGTTTGAAGGATCTTTTGCGAGTGATCTAGATGGAGTGAAACACAATCCTTATGTAGAAATAAATTGAGAGGCTATATGATGAAGGGAGGTGTCACCACAACGAGGAACTGCATGGATGAGACTCCTGACTTATGGTGTTGAATATGAACGTTATCAGCACCAATGAGTGACAGAGCCTCGCTCCTACAGCTCGTGGGTGTGAGGTGGAGTGTAATTAGCAGACAATTGCTAGGGGGGGCGGAGCTGTCGGTTGGGGAAGTTAACGGACAGCCACGAGGCTTTAAGTTGGGGGTCAATTAAGGGATTTTATTTTAAAACTTTGTTTCAGCAACATTTACATTCTACACTGATTTTGGTACATTATGCTGTGCTTAAAACACAACATTTCCATTTTAAAGCAACAAAAATACGTTCACAAAAAAACAGTTCACATCTTAAAAATTCTCAAACAAATGTAAAAATAATAGGCTAAGTAAAATTAACTTACTTACATTTTCTTAGTTTCCATATGCAGTACAAACTATTTTGAGCAGGGAAAGGATTGCTTTTAAATAATCAGGACCAGAAAATGAACATCCCTTCCATTACAATAGCTTTTACCCTTTCGGGCAATAAAACAGTTGTGTCAAGATGTTAAAACACCAATCAGAATCCTTATTCAAATAATCCTGTCTGCATTCGCCACACACGGTACTTGTGGTGAACGTGCAAACAAAACTCACATGCGTGAATAAGCACCTGCAGGGGCGCGCGCGTTCACGCCACCGCGTTCGCTTTTGAGGCAGTGCACGCGGCAGTGTGTGGGATAACCCCGTGCGGCGGTGAGCCAGCGATTTAGTTATGTCCCTCAGAGGGGGCGCTAACACGGGGGGGGGGGGGGGGGCGATCACCCGGTCGGCGGGGGCCCAGCGGGGGCCGATCTACGTGGTGGAGGATGGAGTGGAGGGGGCAAACGTTGCGCCCCATCTGCCCGGCGAGGGCGGTGGGGCGGACGTCGGCCCTCACAGACCCATGGACAAACACCGTAAACTCGCTGCCCACCCGAGGACAAATGCAGGGCAAAGAGACCTGAATGTCCTTTGCCATTTCACTCTATGAATTAACAAACACTGGTTCCTGAAATGTTGAAATGTTAAAATTACAACCACTGCATATTAATATTCTTAAATATCATTGTAACGTTAACTTTGGGGACAGGGTATATTGTAAAATGACAATACAGCACATAGTTGTGAGGTTTTGGATACGAATAGTTGCATGTTTAACATCCACTTATCCATACATAAGTGCCATGAGATCTGGATTAAGCATAGAAACTTGATAACGAAGTAAGGAAGTTTTGTATTGAAGTGTTGAACCTAAGCATCATTCATAAAACATACATAACACGAATTATGTAAATTCTCCACGTCCAAAATAATATGTATTCCAGGGGTATAACCAGAGCATACCCGACTTTGTCTTCCCAGTGGAATCATTGCATACTGCAGCATGGATTTTAAGGTTGAGTCGACCTTAAGGGGGGAGGGGGCGGGTAACCAAGGCCGTTTCACAAAAAGCATAGCTATAGACACGCACCACATCTAGGGGCAATAAAGCGGGCCTGTGCTCCCACAAACCTCGGGATGACCTCCGGAGGGAGCATGAACTTAAGCGGACCCAATGGATGCACCACGTGTGCAAAGGTGGGAGGAATGTCGGGCCTTGATGTGTCTTAGGTAATTAATTACATAAGCTAGGAAATCCTATATAAACACCACACAAAATCATACAAACCAGTCTTGCAACATGTGTCGTAACCCTCCACCACCCGACACAGCCAATCAGCAAAAAATTGTCACGTTGACAAAAGACAAACAGTTCACTACTTTAGCCCACCGGTGTGTTGAAGAGTAAATCCACAACATTTACAGTTTGAGTACACGTTTCGCTGGTAATTACATCCAGCATCATCGGGCAATTTGCCAGAATGGTAAAGCCCTCGCTTGCTCCCGGTCTTAAATAGAGCAGCAGGGTGACGTCATCATTTAACTCATTTCAGGTGCAGTGATTTGAGGCGGAGGGGGGGTATTGTAATTATATAATCGATTGGTAATCAGTCAATGGTTATGATTAGTAATGAGTTGTAGATTAGTAATTAGTTGTAATGTGTGTTATTGTGATTATATTTCTACGTTAGTAATCCGTTAATTAGTATGTGTTTCCCCTATAAGGAATTGTAATATGTATTATTTAATAATACGCTTCCAAACCGCACTAAGCCTGTAGCTGTCAGAGCGATTAAACTTATTTCTATTCCTCTCAATTTCAATGGATTCTCTAATTAATCTTTGCCAGTAATAATTAGTTTTACACAACACTTCAATGTTATCAAACTTACCAGAATATCATTAGGATTAACTTTAATATCTTTAATCACATTCACAAGATGTTCTGAATTTCTTATGAATGAAGGTGTATGAAGGTGTATATCGGATTAATTGTTTATGTGGCAGATGCTGTATTGGACAGACGGGACGTAACATCAGCATAAGACTAAAAGAACATCAAAGAAATATTAAATTATCTCAAACACAACTGTCGGCAGTGGCAGAACATGCTTGTCAACAAGGACACTCAATTGATTTTGATAACGTTGAAGTGTTGTGTAAAACTAATTATTACTGGCAAAGAATAATTAGAGAATACATTGAAATTGAGAGGAATAGAAATAACTTTAATCGCTCTGACAGCTACAGGCTTAGTGCGGCTTGGAAGCGTATTATTAAATAATACATATTATAATTCCTTATAGGGGAAACACATACTAATTAACGGATTACTAACGTAGCATATAATCACAATAACACACATTACAACTAATTACTAATCTACAACTCATTACTAATCATAACCATTGACTGATTACCAATCGATTATATAATTACAATACCCCCCCTCCGCCTCAAATCACTGCACCTGAAATGAGTTAAATGATGACGTCACCCTGCTGCTCTATTTAAGACCGGGAGCAAGCGAGGGCTTTACCATTCTGGCGAATTGTCCAATGATGCTGGATGTAATTACCAGCGAAACGGTGTACTCAAACTGTAAATGTTGCGGATTCACTCTTCAATATAATTGCCATATAAATCCTACATAGGACTAAACTCGTCAAATGATCAGCTTTCATTGGTTCATTACATCTCACTTGGTCACGACGACAACAACAACATCTTTCCGATGAACCAAGCCCGCCCTCGACCTCAAAGCTGCGCCAGTTCACGATTGACAAGGCGGCAGTAGAAGCACGTGACACCGGGGAGACTGCAGGAAGGCGAGCAGTGGTGGCTGTGAAACTGGTGTCGCCCCTTTCTCTCGCGAGGGGTCGTGACCTCTCCATGGTGGCCAAGTATAAAATTATCGAGTGAAGCAGACTCCTCCTGCCCATTCTCCTTCCCCTCCTCCTCCCCATTACTGTATTCTCCATCATCTTTGATCAGTGCTTCCACCACAATTGCTTGCATCTGGAAGCTGGCCTCTGCCGGTGTGCCAATAGCCAGCTCGGATGGGTCTATGGCGGTCGCATCAGCGCACTCGTCCGACTGCTCGTCCTCATCTCCCTGTGGTGACGATGGCAGTGATTGGGAGGTGGAGCCCTCCATGGGTGATGAAGATCGGTCTGTTACGCTGAGCCACACACCGCTCTCTGGTGTCGGGCCCTGCAGCAGGCCTAATGCAGCCTGCGACACGAGGCTCCAGTCCTGCAGCAGGTCCGTCTCGGTGGTGAACTGGGACGTGATGGTGAAGCGGATGATTAACTTGTCTCCAGCCATGGCTGGCACCACGAATAGCTGCCCCGATGCATTGAGTCGCACCAGGAGCTCATTTGTCAGCTCGTTCGGGCCCTGTTGAGAAGAGGTAGACACACCGTACAACACACACGTAAACCATCACACACCATTACATGCCATCACCTACCATCTCACAGAGAGCATGTGTTACACCCACACACACCATACGATCTCTTGTATACACCATCAAGCCACCATCGTACACATATCCCATCGGACACACCATAACATACACGCACATCACACATGCCCATCCCAGCTCACCCGAAGACGGAAGACCACAAGTCCCAGGTGCCTCTTTACTGGAACCTCAAAGCGTGGATCTTCACGCACGAGGTTCTCAAAAAACCTTGCGAGTTGAACTCCCTGTGAACAGAGAGCCAATGGCGGTCAGCACTGTCACAAGCTTGAGCATCATAGGCATTATTGTCTTCATCATTGTATAACTTCACTGGATCAAATTTACGCAACCCTAAAACTTAAGAGGCAGAAGTCCCCAAAAGGTAGGAGTGACCTCACCCTGCGCACATGCTCCTGCAGTCCGCCGACGCCGAACGATCGAAGGACGAACCAGATCTTGAGTGCGCGAAAGCGACAGCTCAGTGGGATCTGCCAGCGCTGCGGGCGCAAGCAAACATTAATTATATTAATACATATTGGGGGTTTGAAACGATGTATCAATTAACATCGATTCTTAAACTCAGGAATACATGTATAAATCACGTGTGTAATAATCGCTGTGTTTGTATTTGTCATCATATGTAATGGGTTCACGTTACTCTTCCAGCTGCTAAATTTACCCATGTGAAATAAATAAGTAACATCATTAGCGATTAAAGGCCGAATCGACTTGTTAGTAAAAAGGCCACACCTGCTGATATTTTATGGAAACAAACTGCCAAATTGGTGGTACTTCATATTGGTGCAGTTATTTATCTTTCAAAAGAACATATATGTAAAATAGGCGTCTGCTAGCATGTGTCAGAAAACCATTTTAGTTTTGCTTCCCATGAATTGTAGATGCTGCGTATTGAGAGTCAGAAGAGTGGGGGGGGACACACCATGAGATCTGTGACCGAGTTGGAGTGCGCATGCTGGAGGTACAGAGGCTCCACGCTGAACGTCTTCTGCAGGCTAAACTTGTCCGCCACCCTGCCATCACCACCACCACCACCATCATCATCTTTGTCCTTCATTGATCTTCATCATCATTTGCAATTTTGCCATAACTGTTCAACGACCTAATTATCATCATCCGGCTTTAATCAATCAACACTACTGCCATCATAAACATCCTCATTTATCCATAATCATTTTTATCATTCATACTTTATCAATGATCATTAACCTTATCCATTCATTTCTCATCAACATCTTAGACTTAATTTTTCACCATCATATCATAAACATGATGGTCATCATCATCATTACTATAAGTACCATCACCAATTGAGCAACACTGATCTTAGTTGGTGGCCCTTAGTGGGTTGGTGAAGCTTCCTCATTCCTGTAACAAAGTTAAGTTTATCTGCAGTATGACCACAGTTGTTTAAATAGTAACATGATAATTTCATCCAGGAAAGTTATGTTTTTATGTGTATCCGATTTCTTAAGCGTTTTGTGCGTGTGGGAGGGGACTGGAAAATGCACACATTTAATTAGAAGAGCAAAGCTGAACACGGATCTCAATGGTAATGTTTGCTGCCTCATCGAGGCACCAACTCATGTGCTCAGTGGGCAAGCATTAACTTCACAGCGCGAGATTGACATTTTGTGAGTCGCTGGTAGACGAGTCGGTGGCACGTGACTAATAGCTGCAGAATTAGACATGCTGGGTGTGGTGTGTCGGGTGTAGAAATCGATTTTTTTGTTCGTTCAGCCTGACAGACCCAGGTGAAATTATACCCAAATTCAAATGGTGCTACCACCACCACCCCTACCACTAATAGAGTGATAGTCTCCATCAGCAGGAGATGCAGTGGTTCGCCTGAAGGGCAATTGTGGTGCCACCGCAGTGGAGCAGCTCGGCCGGCGCTACCCTCTCCTTGCACCTCCCCCCCCCCCAGGAACGCACGCACGCCCCACTAAACACTCACATGCACCCCCGTAGGGTCTCGATGAGGGATCACCTGGTACGATGAGTTTTCACCCAAGGACCCCATTAACAGGGACGTTCCACGGTTTCTCCGGACCAGGAAATTGGCTGAGCCCCCCAGACCGGATTACATGGCGGCCCCCCCAAAAAGGGGGCATAGAGCTTTACAGGCCGGCCGCGATGTGTATGCTTCATCCTGCGGCAGTGTAAACAGTGGGGTGGGAGGGAAAAGCCCCTAGGCATATAGGAGGGTTTAAGAGGGAGGGGCCGAGGGGATTATCGGTGAGTCGGCAGAAAGGAACGCAGGTACACAGACAATGGAAAGGGGGGGGATGACGTGACCCCCCCCCCCCCCCCCCCCCCAACGGCCAGAGCACTCAAAACGGCCGGAAAAAGGATTCGATTGGATCCGCAGGATGACATCATGTGACCCGGGGATTAACGGGCTTCCGGAACATAAGGGGGGAAGGAGGGCAAATTGGATCAGAGTTCTTCTGGAGTGGGAGAGAATACCAGCCGCCCTCAGCGTCCATGGGACGCCTGCAGGGTGCAGCTGAAAACGATTGGCCAGGCAAAGTCTCCGAGGCGGGCATCTTCCCCAACCCCATCGTGCAGCTGGAAAGGTGAGTAAGTACGGGGGGGGGGGGGGTGGGGGGCAATTCAGCCCAGCTCACAGTCAGCTCGAGCTTGGAGGATAGACGCACTTGGCGACGGCCAAGTGATAGGAGGTTAGGCGCTGTCTGAAGGGTGCTGGCTGGAGGGGGCCATAAACGGGGGTTCACTATTCACTCCGGGAATAAACCCTTAGCACAGACTGATGTTTGACGCGTGGTGCATGTGTATGGGTGTGAAGAGCGGTGGGACAGCGATCGGCGCACGATGGTGTGTGGGTGACTATAAACCAGTGTGTGTGTGTATGACGCGCGCACATATTAAAATACAAACGGTTGCCCGCGCCAGCGCGTGTACACGCGAGAACCGCAGTATTAACGGCGAGCCACGTGCGGGTATCGCGCAGAGAAAATCAGTTTGTGGGTACCGCGCGAGCGCCGATTAATAACTCATTAATATCCAGATCGCTCCGGAGCATCGGTGGCTGCCAGCGAGTTAATCAGTGACCCCCGTGGCCGTTCGCCTTGTTGACACAACGGTTTCGTGGAAATAATCCTTGTTTTTTTCGGTAAAGTCACGTCCGCTCTACTTGAATGTCTATGTGTGTGTGTGCCGTCTGTATCTTAAATTTAATACTTAACTTGCAATTTAGGAATCTTTGAAATAACGTAATCAACCAGGCTATGCGTTAATTGTGTTTTGACCGACCGTCTGTGTTGCTTTATATGGTTTCCAAATACTTCTATACTCTGTTTGGTATGCTTCTCTCTCTGTGTCCCCTGTTGTGTCGGTGTTAGTTCCCCCTACTTGGGTGTCTGTATATACATCTGGGGTTATGTGTTTCCCCTCTCTCGTAAATTTAGCTCTTCTGTACCTGATGATGGCTGCTTGTGTTGCAACCGAAACGTCGTACGCTGTTATGTTATTTTATTATTTCTTATTTATACGTGACTTTACCGAAAAAAACAAAGATTAATTCCTGCAGTCACGAAAGCTTCGAACCAAGTTTAGTGGAAATAAATAATTAACTCCTAACCGCGGCGAGCGGCGAGTCACAATATTACGTAATCCGCGCGGCTAGGACGACGCCCGAGTCGGGGGTGAGGGCGCGCGCGTGATTAACCCCTAGGCGGTGTCGGCCAGCCGCTAGCTGTGTCGGTCAGAGAGGACCCTGGGACGGGGGGGGGGGGTCACCCGCTCGGGCGCGTGGGGGACCCCGAAAGACAAAAACGCGGAGGGGACGGGGGTGGGGGAGGCAAACGTCGCACCCCCCCCCCCCTGCGCGTGGAGGGTGAGGGGGGCATGAGCCCCCACCAATTAGACGTGGCGCCCCCCCCCCCCCGCTCGTGGTGAGTGAGAGGGAGATCAGCCCCCACGTAATGGGAAGTGGGGGGGGGTATCAGCCCCCACCAATTAGACGTGGCGCCCCCCCCCCACCCTGCGCTCGTGGTGAGTGAGAGGAAGATCAGCCCCCACGTAATGGAGAGTGGGGGGAGGGGGCATTAGCCCCCACACAATCACACAAGTGGAATGGGAAGCCGTGAGGGCAGAGTGAGTGAGACTGCCTCACCAAAAGACGGCGCTGTCCAGGTTGACCATCATCCACTTGGACGGGTTGACCACGAACGAGTCGGCGAACTCGACCCCGCGCAGGGGGTCACGCAGCTCGGGACACAGGAATGCAGTGCCCGCGTACGCCGCGTCCACGTGCAGCCACAGCCCCTCCTGGCGGCCTGCCACATCACAAGCGTCGTGGTAATGTTGTGTCTGTAGGCCTTTTCCAAAATTGATATTAATAATAATACTTGCCGATAATTTTTTTGTTTGTTAATAGCAACCGAAATAATGAATGAAAACACACAAACCCAGTCCCACAGCAAACAGCATATGGAGATCGTAAAAAGGCAATTGAAAATAAATAAATAACTATTGAACTTCGGGGCAAAAAGAGAGGTTACGTTTTCTGCGAATCTCCAGATCGCCAAAGAACGGTTCACAAATAAATACCCAGAATCACAGACACAGAGCACAAGGCAAACAAACATTATAACTGATTTTTTTCTCTTCACGGAAAAAGTTAAAAACTTGGCTATAAGAATAAGTCTATATTAGTGGCTTTATTAGTGCTTATTTTATTTCACCCTTATTCAACTCACGTATTGTTTCTTATTGTATCTTCTATCTACGTGGCTTTACCAAGAGAACCAAAGTACATGAGTTCCTGCAATCACGAAAGCTTAAGTTCAAACTAAGCTATATATCCAACCTCCGGATATCGGAAATAACTACAAATCTTGGTTAAACATAAAACCAAATGATATTTGAGCGACGTTAAACCGAGGGCTAGCCAGAGAGAGAAAGAGAACCTCCCGGCCGCCTTTGTCTTCCCGCAGCGCGGGGAAGCAGGAATTTAACACCAGAGCAAGGGAATTTATTATTGTGCAGGCCATCTGCACACACGATGCCCTGGACTTCATAATGGCACCCCACCCCACCCCACTACCGCGGGCGGACAAGTAATTAAAACAACCACACACAATACATGTGTCATACATAACATTAATGTGAACGTTATTCACCGTAAACTATATTCCGTTTATATAACCTTGCAAACACCAAGGAATACGAATTCCCAGGATCAAGAAACTTACCTCTTAACCCAGGATATCGGAAATAAAATGATATAAATGATAAAGCATACACACGGAATGACGAAAATTAATAAAAACTGAGGAAGGGCCAGGATAACGGGGTGAATCACAACCTTGTTGAACATAAAACCAAATGATATTTGAGCGATGTTAAACCGAGGGCCAGGGAAAGAGAGAGCCTCCCGGCCGTCTTTGTCTTCCCGCAGCACGTGATAAGAATAGGCATACGCTCAAGAGAGCACCTTCCCTCGTGAAAATAAAAATCAAATACCTTGAGTCACAGACAGAATCATAACTGCAAGTGGTACGATACCAAACCGTGATGGAATAAATGTTAACTTTAAAAGCCTTAACGCCCTTTGTGCGTACAGAAAAGGTCACGCCGGGAAGGCCGACCGGACGGGGAGGGTCGCCCCCCCAGGATTGCATAACGCAGATGGCTTGAGGGGATGACATACAAAGATCCCCCATATAGCCTTAACAGACTGTAGGGGCAAGTGCTGTTAGCGAGCACCTATGTAGGCCGGAACGGTACACGAGGGGGTGGATGGCCAACACCACGCCCGACCGCCTTTGTCTCCCTAGTGGCAATGTTTACACACCGCACCAGGTACTCATTTGAGGCTGAGTCAACCTAGGGGAGGCCCGGTACCGGTTCAGATAATCGTCACTGGTGTTGGCCGTGAGCGGGAATCGAACCCGAGTCGCCAGGTTCATAGCGCAACGCGCTCACCGCTACACACACGGACACACACACGGACACACACACACACAGGCCACGCTCCCCCCCACTGCGCAGAGCGGAGATTTTTTTTTCGAATATAACAGTTCAACCATCATCTCGACAAACGAGTTCAACAAGGCACGACCAGTCGCAGGAGACGGCGACCAGCGGCTCGGAAGAAGACATCAAGCCAGCTTCGAGGCATGGCCTCGAGACATTAGCAATGGGTGCTGTGTCTCGCGGAGAAGGGGGGCGAGGGGGTGCTCTGTGCTGAGTTCGGCATGGGCAGACAGAGTATCGCTGAAAGTTTATTCTGCATCGAGTGCCGGCTCCCAGCTGTAGCGCGACCAGCGCCGCCAAGCAAGAGCGTCTGCTGTCAGCGGTCAAGCGCGTGCCGACTTGACTCATCCAGCAGCGGAAAAGCCTGACCAGCTGCCCGTGAGCAAAAGGGTCGGCTAACCAGCTGAGCGCGATCGCGCATCTTCAAGGAGAGGGAGTTGCCGCGCTGCCCCACAGCAGTGAAAGGAGCCTGCAGCCACCTGCGGCTCCCAGCGCTGAGCGCGTTCGAGCAGCATCAGGAGAGGGCCAGCTCATCACCCAGCGACGTGAGACACGCCGAGCGAGAGGGAACCTGCCGTTGTTCGTATGCCCATCCCCCACCTTCACAAACCCGCTACGCTTACCTTGTCTGCTCACACAAGAATCTACCAAAAGAACAATCCAACGAACCTACACACTAAGACTAATTCACCATCAGCTGGCCATGAAGGCATCGCAGCTCCTCAAGTGGTAACAATCCGTCGGTTATAAGTACATTAATTATATTTTTTTATTCCAAAATTTGTTCTTCGTTTTGTGATTGTACTTCTAATCGCATAAATTACCAATAGATTCATCAATACAAATTAATTCTTGACACCTTCGCCACGGAGCTACGCTCACGGGGAGAAATCGTGTTAAACCGGGTTCCTTATCATCAATCTTGTACACGAATTAATTAATCTCCCGTGAGATAGCACGTTCCCGCCGCACACCTTACTCCAAGCCATCTCTTTGATTATAGAATCTTGCTGATGAATCTATGAACGTATATTTGTGCCTTTAGGAATAATATTTGTTTGATTGCTTTTAGTATGAATACCGTCGCATAATTTTAAGGACTTTATTCATATTTTCCATATGCTCGTGTTACACTGCATAATGACCAACTGCTCCGTGACCCAAAGTGAAACAACGTGATAAGAATTGCCTTGAGGGTTGCTTACGGATCTATTAATGAATGCAGTACTGTGTGAGCAATTTCAAGTATAATCATTCATAATAGAGTATCAAGGTTTTTGTTAGAATAGTGTGCCTGTATGTTTTAACGACTCTCTCTCACACAAACTGAGCTCGCGTTACGCGGTGGAATGAATCACGTGCCGTTGTCAAAGTGAAACAACGCAATCGTTGATGGTTTTGTATCGATACTGTGTTGAAAATTCCAAGATTGAGAGTTCGCATATTATATTAGAGTTAAGGTTTAGTTAGAAAATAAAATTGATTAACGCAGAAGTGGTTGTGTGTTCCTTCCGAAATTTCATGCATACGAGCTGTATCCTGCGTTGAGATCTGAATCTGGAGACCTAACATAAACACACTAACACACTCAGTAAATGTTAAAGCGAGAATAATTGTATTGCCGAGCGTTAATACGAAATTAAACAACGAAGCGGAGCTTACTCTGGCATACTTACATTACACTGGCATAACTTAATACGATAAATTGCATTATCCCGATTGATAATCCGACCCTCCTCAGCGAGGTGGGGCCTAATTATCATAAAGGCTCGCATTAGCATAATCGCACACTCACATAAAAAATGCAATTATATCTCGATTTAGCATAATTTATGCACATAATTTATGCTAATTAAAGACGCATCTTTTATATATCTCTTTTTTTAAACTGAACTTACAAATTGGACCCAGCTCGGCCAGGTTGTCGAAGGCGCACAAGCCCGTGGTGCCGAGGGTCACAGACACCTGAGAAGACAACAACACCGAGCTAGGTTTATTGTGGCACAGGTAAAACCCATTGAGCATTCAATGCTCATGTCCGATGGGGACACGGTTAGACTATAAAAACCTGGTTACAGCAAAAACAACAACACATTCCAAAGTCAAGTTTCAAACGGCCATGTCATGGGGCGTGGTGTTGCAAGCACCATGCCTTTCCGCCTCTGTCGCCCCATTGCCAATGTGATCATTCAAGACGATGAACAGGAAACAGCCACTCGAGATACACTGATTCCTGAATGTAGTAGTGTATCGTGGTTGGCAAGAGTCCTAGTTTAAGGAATTAAATAAGGCTCCCTGTCCAATGTACATTCCCTATTTGTAACTCAGTGCCTCAGCCCTTCTGACCCAGGGGTCCCGATGCAGTTGCAACCACCTGCACGTTCGATAGCTAGGCCACTGTCTGAATGGTCATTTGAGGAGAAAGACAAGATTGTAGTCACACACACAGGCGTGGAAACAATAATCCAGCAGGAGCGACAGCTGCTGTCCATTCAAACAGTTTGGAGGGTGGTGAGGTGCAAGTTAAACGTTGGCCTTTCTTTATGAACCATCTTGGCAACATAACATGGGCTCCCCATGGCTATATATGTATGTTAAACTTCTTTTGCACCATACGTAGTCCAACAGTGCTAATGGGAGGGACATCAGGTGTGCCCGGTCAGCGTGTAATTGTCCTTGAAGACATGGTCTCGAAGTAGCGCCTCACGAAGAACGGGACGAGGCCCTGTGCTCTGTCCTCCTCCACGGCGCGTCGGAGCGTCTCCCCGCGCAGCGAGAACTCCAAGTCCGTGGACAGCGAGCGCAGCCTCACCAGCGACACAAGGCTCGCCTTCAGCACCGACGAGTGAGCCTGGCGGATGTGTGATTAACCACAAGATACGTTCATACATATGCAATTTGTGTATTTTATGTTGACTTAAGTTTTTCAATTTAATCAGCGCGTGTGCAGGAGATGAACGATGCATCGCAGGGCCATGATAATGGCGATGGCTTGGGAAGGCTTCATCCAGCAGTAGATAAATTATGGCTGATGAAGATAAGTTTGTAATGGAATCTATGTAATTAATTTGTTATCTATAATGAATACAAGTGAAATTGGACTAATTATATTACGAACCGCTGAATAATTTCTGATCATTTATGATAAAAATGTATCTTAAAAGTTTGATTAGCCATAGCTCTTCATTAAATCAACGTGTTTGGCTGAATCACCAAAAAAATGTATTCATCATTCAAAATAAAAATTTAAGCTTTATAATTTACAAAAAAGATATTATTCAGCATTTCTAGCCATATAGCTTTCCAGGAAGAAAACATACCAACGGTAGTTTTCCTCTTGATAACGACTGCAATGTTGATCTGTGAGCGCACCATCTGATTTTCACAACCACAGCACCCCTGGGTGATACTGGTCCTCTATGGGGGTGCTCCAAGAAGACTTGGTGCGTGTTAGAGGGCGAGTTATTATCCGGGCGGAGGCGCGCACCTGGTCGGAGGTGTACGCCACGAGGCGCGCGTTGAGGAGCGCGTCCTGTCCCACGTCCACGCACGCGTCTCCGCGCAGGCGGGCGAGAGCGCGCGTCCGTGCCGCCAGCAGCGCCAGCAGGTTGGATTCGCTCACCGTGGTCTGTGGGACACAGAGACAAAGATTCCCTTAGCGAGCACCTATGAAGGCCGTCACAGTACACGATGGGGTGAGTGGCCAGCTTTGTATCAAGAGTAGCGATGATTGCACACTGCACCGGATACTAATTTGAGGCTGAGTCGACCTTGCGGACGCCCAGGACCCGTTCAGATAATCGTCACTGTGGTAGCCGTGAAGCGAGACTGGGTCGCCGGGTTCGTAGCGTAGTGTGCTAACCGCTGCACTACCGTTCGGACTTTGGGGCACACACACACTCTGCATCCTCACAGAGGACTGCAGCTAATTAACCTAACAGTACAAGAGGGAGTGTGTTGCAAGTATTTCACAAGTGTAATCAAATCCCCCAGAATGTCCTTTATTTTGTCAGATCTCAGATGCTAAGCACGGTTGAGCCTGGGTAGTGCTTGCATGGGAGACTGCCTGGTAATTCCAGGTCTTGTAAGCTTGGACTGTGAGGTGGCAGGTAAATTGTAAAATACAATTAATTTGTGAATCTACTTGTGCGGAGCATGAGTGGCACTTTTTTTCTGCACCCACTCCGGTTTTCTCCTACAAGCCAAACATGAAAAGAATTGACCAAGCATTTAAAATGCAAGACCCTCCTTAGAAAAAGTCTTCATACTCAGTGAGGCTTTCATGGCTTAATAAAACCTGCTGTTATGAAACACGGTCTTTACCCAGCAGAGTGCAAAGGGGTGGTGGGGGGGGTGACATTGCAAGTACCATGCCTATCCGCCTTTGTCGCCTAATTTCCCATGTTTATCATTAAATGGCATTGACTAGTTTTAGGCTGAGTTGGCAAATGCAAAAAACGATTTAGACAAGAAGATCGTATGTGTGGTGGTGTGGGCAGCATTAAGGGGTGGCTGATGTTTGTGTGCTTCACCAAGTACCCATATTATTTTGCGCTGTTTTAAATACCAGGTTCTGACACCAGCTGTGACTCGTGGTGTGAGAGGCAAAGAATTCAGATTAAAAGTGAGACATTATTTAAAATTAGAAACTGTTCTGTAATACGCTTGTGTTAAACAACCCTTCTCTTATATGCTCTAAACATGCCCACTCATTGAAACATGTCCTTATTGACCCATCCGGTATTAAAAAAAAGTTTCAAATAAAAAAATCTTCATGATGATGGCGATGATGAATATCACGGTGGTGTGGTGGACGATGGTGATGTAGATGAAGCACCTGAATGACTCCGCCACCGCGTCCCTCTGGGTGGTCGTGCCGGAAGGTGTCGGGCAGGGACAGCATGGTCGCCAGCCAGTCCGTCATCACCAATTCCAGCTCCGTGCTGGCCGGGCTCGACGCCTGACTCGGGTCACGCATCCCCAACACCAGCCATGAGAGATATCGACTGCGCCCCATCCAGCATGTACATGTGAGCTGACGTCATCGCTCCATCTCAACAGTGGACACACACGTGCCCATTGTTTGGGCGAACTGGCGTGGTTAGAACCACACATGCCCGGTCACCTACATGATTTCCCTGTTACTGGCGTTGACCACAGCAGGTACTTATTTTAGTTAAACAAGTTTAACCAGGTGAGGCACAGTCTAGAGTTTAACACCAAAATGCTACTGGTGTGCATCACCACACACATGAAAGACAAAGACAACGATTTTTTGTATAGCCTGAACAGGCTGTAGGAGTAAGTACTGTTAGCGAACACCTACATATGAAGGCCGGCACGGCATACGGAGGGGGTGGGTAGGCAACACCACTACACTACCGCTCGCCACCCCACATACTCATCCATTGATACACACACTGCAAACATGCACGCACGCACGCACTGCTCTGGCAGACACACACAGGATCATCCCGTTTGACCATATAGAATGATGGGGAAAGTGCTGTAGGTACGCACCTATTAAGACCGGCATTCACATAAGGAGCTGTGTTGCATGCATACATTTTCACGCTGGGAACGTCAGCCCAGGTACAGGTCCTCATCATCACTGGTGTTGTCAACCATAGCCATAAATTGAAAAGGGTTCATCAGGGATTGGTTTTCCTTGGTCTTATCAGCAAGGCGTGGTCTTATAAAACAGCGCCACTCGGTAGTGCGAAACCGTGACGTTACAGGTAGAAACAAACGGCAGCGTACAGAAACCACAAGAATATTGGCAACGTACCCATGTGAAGCCGATGGAGTTGATCGCATTAGCGAGCATGTCTCCCAAGAGCGAGGGGTACGAGTTGAGTCCCGGGTAATACCCGTGCATGTGTGGGCTCTGCCAGTGCACGATCTGTGGGCACAGCACAAGAGCAGTGGGAGTCGTGAAGTCAACAACGTGGGAGTGATCTTCTGAGTCTATCCATAAGACCACCACTGTTAACTTCCCCAAAAAGTGATATTTATTTTATCGACCCTGGAGGGATGGTGAACTGAGTCAATCCCCCCAACCAGGATTTGAACTCGACACCTTCCAATTGTGATCTGTTCGCGTTACTGCACAAGCTTTGTATATGCAATCCACTACAATGGAATAAGATTTTGATTTATATAACGTTTCACGGTGCTCCATAGAAAAAAAAACAGAATATGTGCATCACATGGGAAAAATGTGTTTGTGGTATTTTAGGGAAGTTCTATTATAATCGAACTACATGCACAGATACGTAAGGTGAGAAAGTTACAAAAAGGGTTTAAATACAGATTAAACATAAACACCTACAGGTTCGGCTCCGAAACATTTTGATTTGTTTCTATTTACATTTCCTGCATTCAAATACAAACCACTCAAAACCCTCCCTTCTGATGGTGAGAGTGCAGAAAGCGTAGATTTTGGAGCATGGTACAGTACAACAATATAAGTGTGTGCATTTCCCTCCCCACGTTGTACCGACGAGCGAAATACCTGAGCTGAGCCATGGCCTGACCCGATATGGAACCTTTGACCCCCCACCCCACCCCAAAGCTATTCAATGGTGAGCACTCTCAATTCTAATATTTCCCTCTATTCTTACGTCTGCCTTATCCGTGTTTCTGTGGCTGGCCATGTTACCCCAGGCATGATGAGCCGCTCCACGTCCTCAAAGATTCTCTCCCAGGGCTCTCCTTGCTGCGGGGGGCCGGCGGGCAGCAGGGGACGCAGATAGCCGGGTCGCACGGATGGGTTCACGGGCCGCTCACGTACTCCACGCAGGTACGTGGTGATGTAGTCCACCAGCTCCTTACCTGCGCGGCACCATCAGTGACAGGTGGGATAAAGAGTGGGTGGTTCCAACTATGATCAAACCACCATTTCCCGTATCTCCGTTTAGCACGGTTGGTTACATATGGAGCGAAATAAATTCAACATACACATATATACCCTCAATGTCCTCATGGAAAGCCAAGCAGAAGATCAGAAGATCACCTGCCTGTTCCACTAGGAGATGACCACCTCACAGCAATTATTGAATCTTCGCGGAGCCTTGAGCGTTACAACACCCCCTCGTATGTGTGGATTTTTGTGTGGATTTTTTTTCCAGGGACTACACTTTTTTTCTCCAATTGCCAACGTTCAGTTAATGAATTTGGCCAAACATCCCAATGCGTGGCCAAACTGAAAAACTGAGTATTTAGAAAAAATGAACCTACCTTAATAAAGGACATTGCTATCATTATGTTATGCCCCTCCACTCCGGGCCAAAAATAAAAAGATAATTTCCCAAACAATGTCATTTCTAATCATCTATTAAAACGTCATCAGCACTAATAACACACGTGTATTAACAGCTTCAGCATTCACAGCATATTATTAATCAGCAGTAACCAGCCAGTGCTGGTAGGCAGTCTGCCGTGTGATAAAACCACCCCTTCTCATGTCGCCACGAGGAAATCTCATGTGTCTGCTCGTTAGATTCAAGTTTATTTTGTTTGTGAGTATTTGATATTTGATGTTCCTTTATTATTGTTGCTGAAGCAATAATACACTGGCACGTTTGTTCACGTGACGTGATGTATTTGTCTGTCGGTTGGAGAGTGCACGACACATTGTGGCACTTTACTCAAGTGATCCGACCCTAAACATTGTTTTATGAATCACAGAAGTCAATTGCCTATTTCGTGTACCTGAAATAAGTGAATGAAACCGTACGATTGTTAAAGGGCTGTCCATAAATGACGTCACGCACCTGGGGGGGGGGGTCAGACATTTGTGACGATGTGTGACGAGGAGGGGGGGGTGATAAATGTGACGTCACATCAAAATGCGTAACTTTAAATACATATAGACAACACGTTCTACTTAATTAAATATACTTTTAATGTTTTCTCCTACAACATCAGAGTGCAGCGCCACATTAAATACGCACTCCAATGACAATAGTTTAAAGCGATTTGAAGCATGTTTTATTTTCAAAATGAAAATATGGATGGGGGGGGGCAGAGCTTTGTGACGTCATATTTGAGGGGGGGGGTCTGACTTTTTGTGACGCCGTGTGACGAGGGGGGGGGGTCAAAAATCGTCCAAAAATCGCGCGACGTCATTTATGGACGGCCCCTAAGACGATGTTTGTTGACTTTGCTTTTGTAAACAGTGAGAGTGAGACGACAAATTGGGCACCTCGGCTTAGCACGTTTGGCTACATACGGTGCTAAAGAAATTCTACATACAAAGAGCATCAGAAACAAGGCCCATCCAGGATGGTGGCGATGCAGCTTCCGGCCCAAAGGAGGCAGCAAGGCCACGCGCGTCAGCTTCCACGTCCAGGTCGTGCAGTATGAAGACTGCATCTATGAGTGTAAATTATCTGTGCTTCCTGTGTGTTTCGCTAAAGCGCCTGTTCATCTGGAAACGTCCCTGCAGCCATTGAGAGAACTCGTGAAGTGTTGCTGAAATCAACAGGTCACCTCTGGGTTTCCTGTCTCAGGTAAGATAATGCGTGCGGGTGGACTTTCAATTAACAATTGGACCACAGAGGCAGCGTCTGGTGACAATGCTGCAACAGTGTTGGCCTCCCACCAGACCACAGAGGCAGCGTCTGGTGACAATGCTGTAACAGTGTTGGCCTCCCACCAGACCACAGAGGCAGCGTCTGGTGACAATGCTGTAACAGTGTTGGCCTCCCACCAGACCACAGAGGCAGCGTCTGGTGACAATGCTGTAACAGTGTTGGCCTCCCACCAGACCACAGAGGCAGCGTCTGGTGACAATGCTGTAACAGTGTTGGCCTCCCACCAGACCACAGAGGCAGCGTCTGGTGACAATGCTGTAACAGTGTTGGCCTCCCACCAGACCACAGAGGCAGCGTCTGGTGACAATGCTGTAACAGTGCTGGCCTCCCACCGGACCGGTTCTCCTGGGAAGCTACGTGGTGGGCTGTACATGCGCCCGCCCTGCTAAAGAGAGCGCTGATGGTGAATTTTGAGCCCTTTGTCCGCGATTTCCAGTTTCTCAAAGAATTCAACTGCGTGCGTTGTGACCTCAGAAAGGAAAAGCCGAGTTGGACGTCGTTGACTCCACAACATCGAAGCCACGAACTGCCAACGAGGGTGCTCTACACGTGCGCGTAAAGCGCATTACTGACTTAAGAAGGCGTCTTCATCCAGCAGTGGATTGGCAAAGGGCTGGAAGTTATTATTGACGACCACAAAAAAAATAACAACACGTCGTTGACTCTACTATGGTATCAGGAACTACTTCGGTTGTCTTTAAAACATAGGTGATAATAATATGCCCAAAGTGCTAACGCAAATACAAGAGCAGTAAATGATGATGCATACAGCATCAGTAAATGATGATGCATACAGCATCATCATTTAGTATCTGGGTGTGTGTCCAACATCTTCCATTGTACAGCGTATAGCGAATGTGTTTGCATTTAGACTTTGGCATTACAAATCTACATTGTGTTAATAATTGTATTATGGAGTGACTCATGCTGCCAGCTATGGCTGCAAAGTTTGGTCGTACATGTTATATATCGTTTATTGTTAAATTTGAATCACAGTTCCTATGTTCCTATGATCACTGTTACATTGTTTTTATAGCTTTATTTTGTTGATTTCGAAAACGTTTTGGTTTAGCCATATTTGTTTGTTGTAGTACAGAGTGAGACTGATTTAATCTACATTTTCTTATGGTTGTTATTCATCTTCTTTGGTTCTTTCGGTAAAGTCACGTAGAATGATAATAAAATAATAAATTAAATATCTAAAATATAAATGTATTCTTTTATTATCATTCTACGTGACTTTACCGAAAGAACCAAAGAAGATGAATCATTGCAGTCACGAAAGCTTTAAATCGAAATGGTTGTTATTGTTTGACTTGCATCCCAATGGGATATTCGCACACAACGTTGATATACGGTACTTTTTCTGGAAGACTTCGCTGTTTTTTCCTGAAATTTTCTGTTGCGCATAGTCACTTTAAGATGTCCCTTGTTCATGTTTTTGTTTGTTGCGGTTGCACCCGAGTCAAGAGCCGCATGGCTCACAGGGCTATACCTAATAAATTAAATTAAATGTATTGAGAATGTTAAAACGTCCACAATGGACAAGGAAAGAGCACCAAAACAATACGAACAAAAACTATAACATATCAACTAATTATTGCAAATAATTAAACACTTTCCTACAAAGTGGATCGTGGCTTAAGCGTTAGTTCACCGTCAGTGTGTGCATGTGCTCATGAAACACCCGCAAACGACATTTGTTTGATACACTTCATATTACATGTACAATATTTTCTATTCAAAGCGCATCTAAGAGCGACTGCATGTACATCATGACGCTGTACAAGCTACGGGGCGATGCGCATAAATATGTAGCAAAAAAAAACGCCTAAAATGTTTAACATTCGTGACACAGTTTTCTTTTTATTCTCAACGTGACTCCAGCTGTCAGGGAACATTTGAGCCAGTGGTTTTACCACCACTGCCGAGGCAGCCCCGCGTATGTATGTTGAACTTATTTCGCACAGTACGTAGCCAACCGTACAAATCGGAGGTGAGGGGGAATATCAACATTAAACACAAGCAGTTCTCAAGAGGTGAGTTTTCAATTTAATTGTATCTGAAGCTACCAACCACATATTGAGCAATTACCAATTCCACATGCAATTAGTTACCACTCACCTCGAATCTGGAAATCGGTGGCGTCCATGGCTCTTCTGGCTTTGCGTGTGACCACTCAGATGAATGTGCAAATTGCCCGCTGGTAGCAGTTCTACTGACCGGGTAGCAACTACACTGTCCGCAGAACTAACTCTCTGGCTACCTCTTGACTGGATGGCTGGGTGAATGCCTCTAATGGAATGAGTGGCTATCGGTTGTCGAGTGACTAGATTGACAAACGCGCACGTGTTGTCTGGACCGGGTTGGTCTCAAGATTCCCGACAGTGATGTACAGCCGCCCTTTTATTGCGAGCGAAGAGACGCAGCGAATGATGCAGCGACCTGCATCCTTAATCAGACCCTCCTTGCGAGAGAAGGCACGTGGCTCAAGATAGGGACACTGTGTACACACCCACCAACCATTACTCATCGGGTTTTACAGTGATATTTGGCACATTAACAATACTCTGTGCATGTTGGAATCGTTCGCTTACACTTGCATTGTGTGTTCACTGGTTCATAAGCCTGCACAGCATATGGCGAGAGGTCTCGGGACTGCAACACATCATTGTAGGTGACAATGCACCATGGTTCATTGATATGATGAGCTATTTGTCGGACATAGTTTGCTCAACCATTATGTGAAGTTGGAACCACTTGTCACAGTTCCAAGATAAAGAGAACAAATGAAGATGAGAACAGTTGAACATCAAGTCTCTTAACGCAGAAATTATCCTCAAAATCGTCAAAAGCAATGCTGGAGCCATCCGCAACGCATTCAATATCGTTCGTGACTGCTTGAAGTTTGGCTCATATTGGGTTGTGATACCAAAAGTGTCAACAGATTGAGAATTTGTTGGGCTCCTCACTTTTTTCAGCTCCTGCACATCACAATCAAGCTCAAAATCAATGTTTCTCAATGCATCACAGAGTATATCAGCAGCGGCTTTTGCAGCATCAAGTTAGCCAGCATCTCAGGGCTGAGCTTAGATGAGAATATTATAAGTGGTGCAGTTTGATGAGCAAAACAGTGTTCTCATTTCACCATGCTCTTTCAGCAACAAACAATTGAATCAATTGGTGGTGACCCGGGTCACCATCGTGACCCGGGGGTGCCAAAACCTCCATAACTCCGAAACCAGAAGGCCTATGAAGACGGGAGATGTCACTGAGCCCGATACGCACGCCAAATATGGAAATAAAAAACACACGCAAAACATTCATAAACAAGGGGGGCTGCTGGGGATTTGTGCGTGGCAACGGCTGTTTATTGCTTGTTTTGAAAGTACATCAGAATGCTGGTCTGGTCATTGCCCAGCACGTTCTGCTTCTTACGGGGGCGGCCACCCCCTTTTCTTTGGGAGCGAGACCACTTGGAGGCAATGGCGCACCAGGCGCTCTCTTGGTACAGCTGGCGGTCATGGTCGTGCTGGCGGGATCGACATCGTCGTCATCATCGCTCCCAGCGTCGCCCTCCGGCAGGACAGGGTAATACCAGCGATGCTCCCAGAAAAAAATCTTCAACTATGCCCGGCCCACCAATATTTTGCGATGATCCGGGCTACCGTCAATCGATTAATTTGATGAAATCTCGTATCACACACTATCTTTATTAAAAGTTCGTCTCGATAATTGTTTTTCAAATGTTTGATGCTGAAATATTCACTTCTCAATTCAAAATAAATAATACCTGATAAGCTAGAGCCGTCCGTGATATCCGGGATTTGACATACTTAATGTCCATCTTCATAAAATAAATGAAGTGCTGGTACTCTTTGGTTCTATTTGGTAAAGTCACGTAGGTAAAAAATAAAACAACAAAAATCACGACGTTTCGGCCACAACACAAGCGGCCTTTATCAGGTGAAGGGACCAGACTGTCTTGAGGACAGCGCTGGAGTGAAACACAGCCAAGCTCAGACTGCGACCTTTAAGCTGTGTGAGAGAAATAAAGGTGCCTTGACAAAGGAATTAGCATAAAAATTAGCATTTAATTGGCCGACTTAGCATGATGAACGGTTTAGAGGTGGTGTACATGCGGGTGAACATGCCGGTTGGCGAGGGGGGGTGGGGGAGTTTACCTATTGATGGTGTGAAAAGGGAATTTTAAGAGCTGCGAAAGTTTGGGGTACCACTACTTGAAAAAAATATACTGTACCATTGAAAATTAGTTTAATGTTTGGTTCGATTTAGAACATTTTTCCAATGGTTGCTTAATTTGAAACCATCTTCTCGGTTGAAATTGTGTCTGTGTTTGTAGATCTGAATTGCCTCGTGAACAAATCTCTGATAAAAACCCGTGGGTTTGCAAAGAACCTTGGTATCGGAGAAAATTATATCGTGATCACCCACAGCGTTGTAACAGTGATCAGCTACGGCAGAAGAATTCGTTCTGCCGTGTTTCAAATCTGATTTGTGCTCGCGAATTCGGTCAGGGACATGTCGCTTCGTCTCCCCGATATAGCAATCACCGCAGGTACAACTCAATTTGTAAACCCCGGGGTACTGTAAGTCAGGAATGACATCCTTCACGGTGCTGGTAGCTTAAAATAAATGTAAAATGTGAACTCTAAAACCCAAATACCTGGGGCTTTACACCAAAACCAGCCCCCTAAGTAGTCTAGAAGGCAAGATATTGTAACCTATAGAAATTTTATCTGCCATTTTGAAGAATTATGTCCAGAAAAAAACCCACTGACCTTTTATTGAAGTCAGCCCAAGTTATTTTACTTGTGAATAGGTTGGGGAGTTCATAAATTGGCTGCATGGGGCCTGGACTGAATGCCGCGTGTTATATCCTACCCGAACAAATTACCTTGTCTGCATGTCTGTAATAGCTTACGCATTAATAAGAACATGATGAGAGATGAATAATTCAATTATTATTTTGTAACTTGAAAGCAAGGATGTCCACCGAGGAGATGGGAGTGGTGAAATCAGCTCGTGCAGGTAATAGATGAATTGTTACATTGCGAGACCGTGATGGACTGCATGCAATGTTTTTCAGCTACATCCTCCGCTTTGGCCAAACGGATATATAAGGCCGCACTCATTGCACATAAATTGCTTGCCAAAAATTAACCACAATACCTTTCTGATCTCAGGGAGTGTAAACCATCATGCAAACTCCAGTTTCGCAGCGGTTTTTGGCTGGCCATCGAACAAAGACGTTCGCTGCATACGCACTTTCAGATGCGCTTATGTGACCGTCTGGAAAGCTCTTCCTTCCGATAATAGGAAGCCACTGGAGCTATGCACTTTTAAATTTTGATTGAAAATTCATTTCTTTAGAACGGTTTTTAGTTTGTCCTCCCCCCGCAACTATGTTTAGCACGTTCGACTGCATTCGGTGTAAAATAAGTTCAACATTCAAACTTCAAACACACTTTGAACAGTGGTGACCTGGACTCAAGAAAGGTGCATAATTATTTATTAGATATGTAGTTTGCCAGAGGTCCAGAGCACTCGCAAAGCACACGTCATTTTGTTCACACTTGTAGCCACCAGAAACGACCCACAAGCGCTAGTTCACATTAAACACGTTATTTGGTGATGCTGTGTTGTATCTGCCAGGTCTTGAAAATTGAATATAAATAGTAAAATGTAATTGAAATAGGAAAAATGTGTAATTATCCGAAATCAGGCTCATTTATATCATTATGCGCATAAATTATGCTAATTGTGGAGGTGTAATTTCATCAAGGTGTGCAAATGCATGTGATTATGCTAATATATGCAATTATGATCATTAGGCTCACCCTCGTTGTCTAGGGTCGTATTATCAATCGGGATAATACAATTAATTGTATGAAGTTATGCAGGTGTGATGTAAGTATGCTAATTTAAACTTGGCTTCGTTGCCTAGGGTTGTATTAGCAATCGGAATAATATATTTATTCTCGCTTTAGCATTTACTGATTATGTATTAGTGTATAGTCTTAGTTTTTTCGGTAAAGTCACGTTGAAGAGAAACAACAAAATAATAAAATATATATAACAATAAAACAATTCTCACGACGTTTCGACCATAACTCAAACGGTCATCTTCAGGTGTGTTGGTTTGCATAAATTTATATTTAAACGGCGCATTTTTTTATTTATAAAAAAAACGTTAGCGTCACGCGCAGCGATTTGGCAGTTTACCCAGGACTAGTCCATCTATATTTTGAAAAGAGGAGGGGGGAGACGAAATTTTTTATAATGTATGCGTGAACAATCACGCTTACAGTGGCTTTCAGACAGCATACATTATAAAAAATTTCGTCTCCCCCCTCCTCTTTTCAAAATATAGATGGACTAGTCCTGGGTAAACTGCCAAATCGCTGCGCGTGACGCTAACGGTTTTTTATAAATAAATAAATGCGCCGTTTAAAAATAAATTTATGCAAACCAACACACCTGAAGATGACCGTTTGAGTTATGGTCGAAACGTCGTGAGAATTTTTTTTATTGTTTTATATATATTTTATTATTTTGTTGTTTCTCTTCAACGTGACTTTACCGAAAAAACTAAGAATATGAATTACTGCAGTCACGAAAGCTTTAAATCAAAATGTATTAGTGTGTTATGTCAGGTCTCCAAATTCAAATCTCACCGCAGGATACAGTTCTTATAATTAAGATTATTACGCATAAACTTAAGAAGGCACCACTCAGACACTTCTGTGTTAAGCAACTTTAATTTCTAAACAAAAACATAACACTCTAATATGCGAATTCTTATGCTTGGAATTGTCAACACAGTACTGGAGATGTTCTCCTCATTGATCCGTACATTTAACCTTCAATGATCACGTTTGTTAACTGGGTAACAGAACAATCGATTAATTCCTCAGAGTAACACGAGCATATATGGCGATAGGAAAAGTCCTTAAAAATTAATGTGACGATATTCATACGAATGGCAATAAAGAAACATGTTCCTAAAGCAAGAGTCGTTATCAATTTATTCATTGGCAAGATTACGAAATTAATGAAAACGAATGACTAAAATACTTCTACAATCGTATTCATGTAACTCAATGGGCAGCAATGTTCTTCACGATCAGTTGATATTTAACGCACTTTATCATTAGTCTTCTTATTATTAGTCCGGGTATGTGTTCATGTGGGTGTGGTGGTTTGTCTCCTTGTTCAATTCTTTGCGTTAAGCAGACGCCAGGCGATGCGTTGTAGTGTGTGAGTGTGGGCGTGTCATATGAACGGCTTCCTCACTCTCTCTCTTTGAGGCAGTCGCAGTTTCTGTCCACTGCTGGATGAAAGAGTCGGCACGACGCTCACCATCGGTGCGCGATGATTCCGTCGTCAGATAGCGCCCGCAGCTCGTCCGCAGCTCGTCCGCTGGCAGCCATTCCTCACTCTAGTGTTGGTTCCCAGCTGGTGCTGGTCGGTGTGTGTGTGTGGGTCGAACCCACGGCGCTCTCGCCGGCGCTCTCCTCTTCCTCAGGGGCTGCTGGTCAGGCTCTTTCCCCTGCTGGATGAGCGGAGTCGGCACAACGCTTGTCCGCTGGCAGCTGACACCCTTGCTCGGTGGCGCTGGTGGCGCTGCTGCGCGCTCTGTCTCCGGCTCCGTGCTCTCCGGCAGTGCACGATTCCGCGTGCAGCTGGTTCTCTGCGATGCTGGCTTGGTCGACGCTTGGCGCTTTCAGCCCTTTCTCGAGGTTGATTGCTTGACGTTGCTCATCAGTTCAACTCGAGCTACAGCTGATCGTGGAAGCTGGTACTCACTATAAATGTAGAATAAAACTTTCAGCGATACTCTGTCGGTCCATGCCGAACTCAGCACCGAGCATCACCTCGCCCCTCTTTTCTGCGATGTACCACACCCATTGTTGATCTCGAGGCCATGCCCCTGGAGATTGCCCGTCGCAGTACTCTTCTGTAGCTGACGGTTGTCTTCTGTCGTCGCATGGATGTATGAGTCGTGTCTCTGTTTTTACGTGAAATACTCTCCCCTCGGCTCGCCTTCTCACAAAGGACCGGAGCGTCCTTTGATTTCGCTCTGTGCTGTGGGGGCGAAGTTGTACGTGTGTCTGTGTGTGTGTTCTGATTTATTAAGCCATCTGTTAAGTCTCACCCTGGCTTGATTCCTGCCCCCCTCCTCAAGCCATCTTTTCATCCGTGGAACAATCAGATGCCCCAAATTGCTACACCCCGGTTTATTGTTTGTAATGTAAACTCTCTGGCGGAGTTATCCCTATCCGGTGGCATTCCCCCTCCCCTCTTTCCTCCCGGTGTTATTTTATTTTGCCTCTCACAAAGGGGGTGTTTCGGCTTTTTAAGTAGTATTCTGTTGTACGGTTTGGAATTTCTTTTTTATTTTACCTCTTATAACTTGATACCGTACCACTTTGTAGTTCTGATTCTGTAAGTGACTCAAGGTATGTTTGTAGCAGTGTTTACAGTACTTCCATCGTGGTGTTTGATGATTATTTTTAAGGGGAGATGCTCTCTGCATGCGTATGCAAATTTCTATCACGTGCTGCTGGGAGACAAAGGCGGTTGGGAGACTCTCTTTCTCTATGGGATACATTTTATCTTGGTTATGTGTGATTGACCTATTTCACCTCATCTCTTCTGGATAACCCTCGGTTTAATACTTCATAATTATTATTTGGTTTGTTTCCCAAGATTCGTGATTTAGCATTGTTATTACCACGTATTTTCCTTGGGGTTTATTCACCTTCGTTCCCCTGCCTGTATCCAGGGACTTGTGCTGTTTATTCTCGAGTTTATTTTGCTATCCCGAGGTTGGAGATATAACTAAGTTTCGGCTTAAAATATCCGTGACTGACAGAAATAATTTTTTTGGTGCTTGGTAAAGTCGCGTAGATAGAAGAATAATTACAAAAATAAGGTGAATAACTTTAGTATAAAAATTATATATGAGAAATAATAACCCACTAATGTGGATTGTCGCCTGGTTTTTAGTCGGAGTGGGTGTGTTGGCAGTGTATCATGTCCACTTCTTCGTTAATTAAAATAACCTAAAAACGCGTCTATTTGGTTTTCGCTGCCCAGGAAGCTGGTGCCGCCTGTTCGCAATCCCCCCCCCCCTTCTCTTTTGTTTTGGGTTTTTATGATCTTTTATCGTTTATCTCCGGCTGCATGGTTCCGAGTGTGAAGGGCAGCTGCTGTGAGGGGAGGGTTCCGCATCACCCCTTTTTGCCCCAAGCGACACCGCGATTGATTATTTAAAAAAAAATTGGCAGAATTATTCTTAATATCAATTTTTGAAAAAAGCTGCATTGGCAGTGGTGCATAAGCACAAATAGCTCTTACTGCTCGACACCACTTTCCAGACAAGATCAGTCCAAGTCCAATAAATAATTTTCTAAATACAATGCGTTATGGACACAACAAAGAGCTGGTGGCATAGCTCATGTCATTACATCCAATATCAGAAGACTATGTTATGGTAATATTCTGTGGTTGTGCATATGATGCGGATGTTAGCAACTAAGCTGTAGGGAAGCAGAACCTGGTTGTATAGAAGCATGCATTTTGAGAGAATTAAACGAGGTTGTCTACTTTTTGTTTAAAGCTTTCGTGACTGCAGGGATTCATATTCGTGGTTCTTTCGGTAAAGTCACGTAGAAGGAAAACAATTAAATAATACAAATATAACACAATAAAATTATCCCAACGTTTTGACTGCAACACAAGCAATCATCATCAGGTGTGAAAACCACAGCAAGAAAATTTGAAAAAAGTGGCGTTTTTTTAACGTTAGCACCACGGAGAGCGATTTGGCAGTTATTCAGATGGACGAGTCCATCTATGTTCGGAAAAGAGGAGGGGGGAGACGAAAATAATGGATGCGATCTGAAAGCCACCGTAAGCGTGAACAATCAATTAAGACCTGAAATGGTTTATCAAATCCTTTCAATGATTGCTAAGCCAGAATCCATCTTCTCGGTTTAAATTGTCTGTTTGTATATGTGGATAGCCTCATGAACGAATCTCTCATGGTAGCCAGATGGCTTGCAGAGAACCTGTCTTGGAGAAGTCAATGTCATGTGAGCCTACTGAATTATAAGTGATCTGCCACGGCCGAGGTGTCGGTCCTACCGTGTTTTAGGTCTGCTTTGTGTTCACAGATGCGGTCCGAGACAACTCGTTTGGTTTCTCCAATGTAACTACTACCACAGAGGCAACTTAGTTTGTAGACGCCAGGGTACTGTATATCCGGAATCACATCTTTTACAGACGGAACCAGATCACGGATTTTATGTAATGTGTTTAATCGGACCTGGATCTTGTGTTTATTAAAGATTTTGGAGATCTTTTTTGTGAACCCCGCAATGTAGGGTAAAGTGATGGTTTTGAATGGCTCAAGAGGGTCCTTTTTCATGGTTGGAGTGATGGCTTTGCGGATTGTGAAGTCGGAGTAACCATTAGCCTTAAGAGCTTGGTGTACGTGCTTGAGTTCACTGGCTATGTGTTCCTAGTCGGATATGCATTGGGCTCTATGGTGCAGATTCTTGATGAGGAAATTCTTCTGGGATGGATGGTGGTGGGAATCCGGTTTCAGGTAAGCATCCGTATGGGTAGCTTTCCTGTAGACAGAGTGGCTCATTGAACCATCAGGTCTCTTTTTTATTAGGACATCCAAACAAGGTAGCTTGCCATCTTTTTCAACTTCCATGGTAAATCTGATGGCTGGGTGTATGGAATTGATGTGTTCGAATAATTGGTCTAAAGCAGGCCAGCCATGTAGCCAGATGACAAAAGTGTCATCCACGTACCTCTTACATAAGGTTGGGCGCAGAGTGGCAGTCTGGATGGCGTCAGTCTCAAATTTCTCCATGAAAATGTTGGCTACAACCGGAGATAGGGGGGGGCCCATTAGGGTGCCCTCAGTTTGTTTGTAGAAAGTTCCAGTCCCAGTAATGTTTTCTGAAAAGCTGACTAGTCCATTCAAGCAGGTACACAAACAGACACGCAGACTGGCATATGAAAGAGGTGCATGACCTTTGTTACGAAATTTTATTTGTGAAATTGCTGGAAAGCGTATTATACAAATGTACAAAAACACTGCCAAATAGTCAATCAACAGCGATGACCTCGTGAGCTCACAGGGAATTGCCCCGACCAGTTCATGCCTTCACACCGTCATCAGCATCTGCCAAGTGCCCAAGGTTGACACCATTCAATGATGTGGGAAGCCGGTTTGAGGTGGGGCTGCAATTACAGAACATTGGACATCGCTGTCATATATACAAATGGTTATCCATCTGATCCAGAATGAGAAAGAGACAAGTTGACATAAGGAGTGGCACAAGTCAATGTATTGTGCTTTGAGGATTTGCAGTTGCACGTTATCTGTGTGAAGCATCTATCATGAGGAATTGTTAGTTGTCACAAAATGACTCGCATTTTTTCCATTGGTAATCTCAGTTTTAATATGCTGTATTGACCTGTTTAAGAGTGCCGAGTTTATTATACATTCCGGATGTAATAAAGTCACATTTATTTTCTCGGATTAAAATGTGTTAATCTGTAAGACAAATTTCAAAATTAAATGGTCATTGATTCTCATCTCCTAACCCAACCTCCTTAACCCCAAAAGCACCAAAAAATGTAGAGGCATCCCAAATAACCTATATGCTAGTCCTGGGCTGCACAACACGAGTTTTAAACTTTGCTGATGAGAAGGGACTTAGAAGTGACTTTCAGGTACGTTGCCCAGGTAATCTATTAATGCCACTTCCAAAAATGTGAATGCCACTGCAGTGACTACATTAGGATGCAACAGCTGTGCTTCAATTCAGTCGAAAGGTTTTTTTTTTCAACCTCAAATCGGCATCCTGGGACAGACAGCCTAGAAGTTACAAGAGTTATTGGTGTTTTGGGTAGCCTTATTTTGTGTGTAAAGTGGTTCTAACATGAATACAAAAGGGACTCAAGGCTTGCAAAACCTTTAAACCACTATTGGAAAACTGCTTTTCAAGCGTTTGGCAGGATAAGCTTGGCAGTAGACTTTTGAATGTCAGTGAAAGCTTGCATCGAATTGGCATTTAGTTTCTGGCAGGCATGTAATGATGGATACTTTATAATAGATACTTATGCTCATCATACATGCATCAAATTGGGCACTTGCCCAGTTGGTTAGCTGCGATTCATAAAATTACTATGCATATGATATGCTGATACATTTAGTCTAAGAAAATAAAACTACACAATATAAGAATACAAATAATACAAAACAGGATCAATTATAATCGTATGGATAAGGCTGTATTTCAAATTACATGATGCATCCTCTCAACAGCACTCCTCGCTACAGTTAATATGCAGTCTCAATGTGACTTACAGCCTCGCCTTTCTCATGCCCTCGTAATTCCCTTTCAAAGTTGAGGGGGAGGTGTATGGCGTCACTTGAAGAAATGTAGTATTCCACTTTCCAGCAGATTGTACATGCTTGAACATTTTACAGATGTATACATTTCTAACCATTAAGGGCAGTTGAAAGACATTTCAGATTGAAATAGTTTGCATATATAACCAACCCTTGATTTACCAAACATGTGGTTCAACAGCCGTTCATTTTATCTACGTATTTCTTAAATTATCTCAAGCATGTGATGGATGCATCCTAAATTAATAGCAACATTACTTGTAAAAAAAACTGTTTATATATGATAACTCAAGGTACATGCCAAAAAAAATCCTAATCGCAACTAGTGACCTAAAGTTAACATATTTCGGCTTATTTTGGAATGGGGTAGGGAGAGGTGTCATATTTGATTATGCAACAAGCACCACAATATGCTGCTCAATTGACAAATGCAAATTTTGGTCCAAACTATACATGGACGACCAAATTAGAAAAATAAAAGATACACGAGAATAACCAACATGCAATGACTCCAAGTAAGAAATGTAATACACGATACATTGATAAATGAATAAAGTAGCTACATTATCGAACAAATTAAAGAATGTTCTTGTTGAAAGTTTTTTTTGGTAGCCGAGTCAAACACTGGTGAAGACACCACTGCATTTGGCTATGAAAACCATAAAAAAATCACTGGAAAACACACCACTCTGGAATACAGGAGTACTCAATTACCACGTAACTTCGTAAAGCAACTCGCCCTGCTGGTTAAAGGCGCTCTATAAATGTAAGCAATGGTGGTGGTGGAAAAGGCAGTGATAAATTAATGTTCCAGGCTGGTTTATGCTCTAAAGTTTGATGCCACGTTCTCAAAAGGTAAAGGTGTAGATGTAGCATTGCTAGGCTGAATTCACAATGTAGCGACAAAAGCCCCACCTCTATGTCCAGCACTGACCACATTCAATTATGTACGAAGCCACTGTACATATTATATTAAGACTCATGACAACGCATAAGACCAACTTGCATTTAGGAAGGTGCCAACATGGAACATGAAATAACTAGTAGCTCAATTAATCATACTGAATGGAGACTTAGAGATGGTATTTTCAGTAAGGAAGGAATGGGAATATCATTAACAAGGCCTGTTACGACGTGAACATTTCAGAGCCCCACAATTTAAGTTCACGGAAATCAGATGAAATTTGATGAGATTGTGTTTACATAAAATATACATACACGTATACCTGTTTTGCAATTTAAAACTATTGAATGAGGTCATAATTATGCCATTTCATTACAATACATGCACTTCTGCTTCATCACAGGAGTAACACATTACAAAGGTTTTGTTTTTGAAACAAAATAGCAGGATTTAGCATTCTAATTTGTACATAAGTTTTCGTAGGAGTGTTTTATATTTGTATTACCAGTGCTAACATGTGACATCACTGCTACAAGAACACCTGGACACAATAGTAAAGTCTTACCATGTTCATATTAAACCAAGTTATGAAGGCTGTTCTTAGGATACTTGATGGGATTACTTTGTCTACCCAAAGACTACTCTGAGAAAGTGACACGTGGTTTGCTGCCTAATGCACGACCTCTCATATTTGGACATGTGATGCGATTCTATATGGTTGACCCAGCCGAGCAGGTTCTCTTTATAAGGGTGCCTGCTAGGTGAAGGTGCCTCTTGGCTGCAGCGGATTAACAGCTACCGTTGATTGTCAGGGGATTGATACTGCCACTTATAGTTCAGATATACCATATTACTCACATTCTGTCCTCACTGCACTGGCCCATTATAAATTACAGAATCGACTTTGAGATTCTTCTCATGTTTAAGGCCTTGAATGCATTGCTCACATTTTATATTTCACTGCAAAACTTAGATCTGCTAATTCTGGTCTACTCAATATTCCACAGACCAGACATTGTTCTATGGGAGGTGGAGAGTTTTGCAGCCAGGCTCCACGATTGTAGAATTCTCTTCCTCAGTCCATTAGGGAATCTGAGTGTTACACTTTTTAAATCGTCTTAAAACTCACCTGTTTTTACAGACTTTCTCCATAAATTAAGCTTTATGTAATTCGCTTTGAAGCCTTGTGCGAATTGCGCGGTAGATTACCGAGTTCCTTATACAACTTGGATTAAACCAGTCATGTAAAAAGTTGCTCTAGTCTGAATGGAAGTTGTGATACAGCAATGTTTTTTTTTGGTGATAGTTTCATTGGAGGTTGCACATAACCAGGTTTACATACTACATGGTCTTGGATCTCAAAATGGTGTTTAAAATGCAATTTAATCAAAATCAGTTCTGTAGCATAATATACCTTATATTTATTGTAAGTAGCACTTGTAGTGCATCAGTGGAAGAAATTAAATCCGAAACAAAAGTATAAAAAGACATTGTAAGCGCATACATGTGGCATGTGTTTAAGGCACGGTGGGGCTCACAGTAATTTATGTTTTCATCAATGTACACGAGAACCTGTCATGGAACTAAACTTTTAAATTCTGCAATTAAAACAAAGACAACCGAAGGACTTTGATATGTGTATCATGTAATGATTTTTCTCAACCATTTTGCAGTCTCCTTTGAAAAACTGTTTTGATCCAAGACCTGCAGCATATGGTATAATTCATGGTCGTTCTATCATGAGTCTCAAAAGAAGCATGCATCACGCTGTGACTGAACCAAACCGGCATGTCAACCATCTGGCCATACCACCTGTAAATCACCAATTGCCACTCACTTGTTCTCAGGTCGATAACATAAAAAAGTTTCCTGTATGTATATTCGTAGCTTTAAAAAATATAAAATGGGACTTTATTCTTTGACGACTGTGATGGCTTCCAGATTAACAGTGGCCTCTTCCACAACCACCAGCATGGCCGTGGTGGTGTCCATTGTTCCCTCGGTCTCAGGATCAGTCTTAACGTCCACGGCTCCCTCGTACGCCTGCCTGTCTTCATTACTGCCTTTCCCAGCAACTTCAGACTCTGTCTGGGTAACCTCATGTTGCTGTGGGGCTATGTCACCACATGCCTCTAGAGTCTCCTTGTTCCTCGGCTCCTCCTCTTGTGTTACCGTCACAGCAGGCTCCTCCATCGTCATCAGCACAACCGGTGCTTCCTCCAAAGTAATTGGTTCCACGCCCTCAACGGTAACAGCTTCCACCCCCTTCAAAGTGACCGATTCCACACTCTCTATTACTGGTTCCATGCTCTCAATGGTGATGGATTCGATACTTTCCAGGGTGACAGATTTCACTATCTCCACGGTGACCGATTCCACACTTTCCACAGCGACAGATTCCACGCTTTCCATAGTAAGTGGTTTCACATCTTCTACAGCAACTGGTTCCATGTTGTCCATCAAGATTGTCACCTCTTCCTCATTACCCTCAACAGCCAGTTCCACATTTTCAGTTGAATCTGCTTTTATGCTCTCCTCCAGGACTGGTTCGAGATTCTCCACAGTGACTGGTTCCACATTCTCTAAAATGTCTGCTTCCAGGCTCTCTGCAGAGTCTGCTTCCACTGTCAACACAGTCATCGATTCCACATCAACTACCGTGTCAGGTTCCACCTTCTCTACAGTAACTGGTTCCATGCTCTCCACCGTGACTGGTTCAAGATTATCAACCGGATTAGTTTCCATATCTTCCAGGGAAACTGGTTCCTCATCCTCCACCGTCACCTGCACCACATTCTGCAAGATGACCCCCTCACAGCTACTGGTAGGGATGGAATTTGGGGCAGTGATTGGGGAAGGAGTATCAGTAGCTACCTTGATAGCGGTGGGTACGCTTTCCACACCTTTGCCATTATGCACATTCGCCATGGCCTCCAGCTTGGCACGGTATGCATCTGCCTCCTGCTCTTTCTCCAACAGCTGTTGACGGAACTCCTGTGCTTTACGGTTAGCCTCTGCTAGCTGTTTCTGCAGCAGCTCTTTGTCCAGGCTTGTTTGCATGGCCCCACTGGAACCTCCATGCTCCATCTCAGCCACCTTCTTGACACTCTGCTCAAGAGATTGATGTGGGAAAGTAAAGAAAGGTCAGCATGGAACTATTCACAGAGATCCCATCACTTAAGAGTAGTGTAACATTGCCCAGCACAGCCATACCAGTGGTTATAAAGTACCGGTCCATGTTTCTTCACACATACATAGTTATTATTTTAAACACGTTTAAAGACAATGAACATAGGTGATCCACCACCCCCTCGTGATTTAATGAAAGGCTGAAATTTGAGATCGTGATTTCATTCAATAGGCTGATTTTATTTGTCTGTGGTGAATGTAGCACCACTAATAGCTGCAAGATTTTCATGAACCAAATACATGAACATATGAAAAAGTCAAATTATATTGCACGAATAATCAATCATTATTCATGACTTATTTTAGAGTCAGATCGTATAAGGCAATGTGTCAAACCCTCCCGCACCTGACAGCCCAATTAAATAAAATTGTCACGTGAAAAAATGTGCTAATTTATTATTACTTTAGGATAGTCGTAGGTTGGACAGCAAACCACAACAGTGAACAATTTGGAAAGACTGTCACTGTCAGTTACAAACATGGTTAAGTCTGGGGCCTTAAACGGGTGGCGTAATGCCAGAAAGTCCATAACTGTTTTTTGGGTTAGATCGCGTAAATATATAAATGTGTCATTAAAACTCGCCACCACCCGACACAGCCAATTCGTCACTGGTACAGCACACCGGTGTGTTAGAGCTAAGCCACAACATTTACAATCTGAGTGGTGGCAGGTTTTAACGACACATTTATATATTTACACGATCTAACCCAAAAAACCTCTTATGGATGATATTGGTCGCGAAAGCCTACGTGTTAAAATGTCAGAATTAGTTTGATGTTAATGTATTGAGGTTAATGCATTTGTATTCATTATACCGTATGAAATTACAATGCATTGTAAAATGAATATATATTTTTGGTGACATAGGTTAGTAATAGTTAATTACTTACATTAAATTATTTATGTTATGCTGTTGGCTTCAGTTAAAGTAAATATTCCTATCAGATTTCGATTTAAAGCTTTCGTGACTGCAAGGATTCATCTTCTTTGGTTCTTATTCTTAGTTTTTTCGGTAAAGTCACGTTGAAGAGAAACAACAAAATAACACTCAAACCATGAAGAAGAACCCTCTTGAGGAGCCTTTCAAAACCATCACTTTACCCTACATTGCTGGGATCACAAAAAATATCTCCAAAATCTTGAATAAACACAAGATCCAGGTCCGTTTCAACACATTACATAAAATCCGTGATCTGGTTCCGTCTGTAAAAGATGTGATTCCGGACATACAATACCCTGGTGTCTACAAACTAAGTTGCCTCTGTGGTAGTAGTTACATTGGAGAAACCAAACGCCATGTCTCGGACCGCATTCGTGAACATAAAGCAGACCTTAAACACGGTAGGACCAACACCTCGGCCGTAGCAGATCATTGTTCTAATTCAGTAGGCTCACATGCCATTGACTTTTCCAAGACGGAGGTTCTTTGTAAGCCATCTGGCTTCCATGAGAGATTCGTTCATGAGGCTATCCACATATACAAGCACAGAGACAATTTCAACCGAGAAGATGGATTCTATCTTAGCAATCATTGGAAAGATTTGATAAATCATTTCAGTTCTTGATTGATTGTTCACGCTTACAGTGGCTTTCAGACAGCATACATTATAAAAAATTTCGTCTCCCCCCTCCTCTTTTCAAAAAAAAATAGATGGACTAGTCCTGGGCAAACTGCCAATCGCTACGCGTGACGCCAACGTTTTTTTTTATAAATACACCGTTTTAAAAATAAATTTATGCAAACCGACACACCTGATGATGACCGTTTGAGTTATGGTCGAAACGTCGTGAGAATTTTTTTTATTGTTTTATATATATTTTGTTATTTTGTTGTTTCTCTTCAACGTGACTTTACCGAAAAAACTAAGAATATGAATTACTGCAGTCACGAAAGCTTTAAATCAAAATTTCTTTGGTTCTTTCGGTAAAGTCACGTGTTGTGGCCGAAACGTCGTGAGAATTTTATTGTCTTATTTTATTTTATTATTTTATTCTCCTTCTACGTGACTTTACCAAAAGAACCAAAGAAGATATTCCTATCAGGTTGTGATGTCATTACTTAATGCATTTTCCAAGCCACACTCAGCATGTGTGAAGTCTTATTTTATTTCTCTCAATTTCAATAGACTAATTGGTCTTGGCCAATAATAGTTTTACATAGATTAACATCAAAAGAAATTGAATGTCCTTGTTGGCCGGCATGTTCCACAACTATGGCAATTGATGTTCCATTGGTGTTCTTTAAAATTGTGTGCTCATCTCTCATCCCTTCTGGCCAACATATCATTTGCTACGTGTAAGTAATGCAGTAAATTATTTATGTTTGTGTTTATGATAACAATCAGATTCAATGAATGAGGGTACCTACCTTCAAATTAAACAGTATACTCGACCAATCAATTTGAACATAAGACAATAGCAAATCATCAATTCCCAATAAGGAACAATATTTTATAAAACCAATGGCATCAAAACTACCTCCTCATATCTTAACTCTGAAAACTTGATTAACATAATGGAAGCTATCAAACGTAACCCTAATGAGATTGTGATTAGTTACGTGATTTTTCAAGGATTATCTAAATACATCCCACCATTGGTTGAACACCGCTTAAATATTATTATTTTTATGGAGAGATTTTCTTTTACAAAAAAAGGAGTGGAGATGGGTTCTCTGGTCTCCTGTTATTGCTAATTTATACGTGGAGACCTATAAAGCACAAGCGCTAGATTCAAGTGCACTAAAAACCTCGCATTAATTTAGATATTTGGATGTCACACCTGCTGTCTGGTCACATAGTATAAAAACACTTACTGAATTCCTAAATTACCTAAACCTGTCCTTTAAGTTTACCATGGAGGTGCAGGGAAACCCTCCCATTTCTGGATATTCTGATTGGACAAAACCCAAATTTAAAAAAGTGTTGAGAGAATATGCACACTGACACCTATCTTAATGCTCACTCACACCATCAACCACAACAAAAATCCTCCCATCAAGACACCCATACACACTGGGCAAAACAGCATCTGATGATGAACGAGATTAAACATTTCAAAACGCAAGATACAATAATCTATGATTAACAGATCATTAAGTGTAAAAAGCAAATAATATATTCTAAACAATGGAATTGAAAACAATTTTTAAAAACTCCCATATATTTCAGGAGTAACTGTTAAATTGGCGAGATTTTATGTAGAGAAAAAAATGTTTATAGAAATATTTGGCACTTGTGCTAAAGATAAACGCTCAAAATAAACAAAAGTTCACCGGATGAATTGCAGATATGGTAAATGCGATGTTGGCCAGACAGGAGGAAAGAAAGGCAAAATATTCAAAGAACACAAAAGGAACATCAAATAAACGAAGAAATTTGTCAGCTATGCAGAATATGCATGCCAATAAGGATATTAGATTGATTTTCATAATGCTATTGGCCAAAACTAATGATATAAACTATAAATTAAGTGGAATAAAAGATCATTTCAATCAACCGGCCAGTTAGAGGCTGAGTGTGGCTTGGAAATTAATTAATAAAGCACATCACAACCTCAACAAAAGTGTATTTAGAGCAAATGAAACTAACACCATATTAGTATAACACTAAGCATTTTGTATAACTAACTAACCTATGACCAACATGTATCGCCACAAATATTTTCACATTCACATTAGTGTAAAGTTTTCTAATATAAAAACATTTTATGCAACTATATTAACCTCTACACATGTATGTATGTAGTTTGCACCGTACGAAGCCAACCGTGTTAATACACTTCTTCTTTGGTTCTTTCGGTAAAGTCACGTAGAATAATAAAATAAAATAAAAAAATTAAATTCTCACGTTTCGGCCACAAAACAAATGGCCTTCTATCGTCTGTCGTCCCGACAGGTTTGTTCCTTTCACCTGAAGAAGTCCACTTGTGTTGTGGCCGAAACGTCGTGAGAATTTTATTGTTTTATTTTATTCTCATTCTACGTGACTTTACCGAAAGAACCAAAGAAGATTAATCCTTGCAGTCACGAAAGCTTTAAACCGTGCTAATACACAACTTCCTGCTGCTTCCAGCTCTCTTGTGGGGCACCTCGATAATATCACACGACCTAACTTAGACCCAAGCCTGGAGGGACATTTTCACAATTCTGGCAATTGGCTCATGATGCTGGCTGTAACTATTAGAAAAAGTATTCCCAACTTGCAAAATGTTGTGGATTGCTCTCCAACACAGAGCTGATTGGTCACCCTGTGCCCTTATAAATCTCAGCGTTCATCCCACAAAGTCCCACCATAAGGGAGACACAAAAAAAGAAAAAAACTTTTCCCTGTACAAGAATACGGGTAAATTATATGGGTTGACAGGTATGGGTGTGCTGAAGCAATAATACATTTGCACGTTTGTTCACGTGACTTAGGTATTTAGTTGTGTATAGTGTATGACACACAATGGCAATATTACTCGCATAATCTGACCCAAAAATCAATTAATCATATTGGTCACGAAAACCTACGTGTTGAATTCATAATAGTTTTAAACAATGACTTGATGCATTGTTACAAGCCTCAAATACACAATGTTATCAATATCCACAATTTCACTGACAAAGGACTAAGGAACATCTATTGTATATACTGGAATTTGATTCTGAATTCCAAAGAGTGTAAGTGGATCTGTAAAGAGTTAAAGGAATAGTTTTAAATGTGAAACAGCAATGTGGGTGAAGATGAGCTACACACAACAGATTGTGTAGTAAGAATGATGGCCCCTTCATTGCCCCCATCAAAATGCGGCCTGGAAGCTCTTCCCCAATTAAGTATGTGCGATTGCTCACACACTCAAAATGGTGAAACCAGCATAGAGGGTGAAATGGAACACATGATTGTTGCAGAATGGCTCCCATGCAAATATATGCCCACTTATACCCAAGATGTTTATTCTCTATCTATTGCATTCACTGCAAGATGAAAGCCGAGTAAATTCGTCATGAGCCTCTTATGAAGGCAAATAAATAGGAGACCAAGCCATCTTTATTTTTCCCCAGCTGTCATAACAATGTTTTGCAAAACTGAGGTTCATAAATTAACTTCTATTCTAAAATAAGGTGTCTACCAAACAAAGTCTAACCACTTGTGAACCTTACATTGAGTAAATTTCACAAATAAAATTTCATATCGATAACATTATTTAAAAGCTACAAACTTTTATTTTATCAATGAGGAAAATACTGTTTATGTTGTCTTTACGGTTTATCTTGTGGGATGAATGTGTAATTGTCACATGGGATGGTTTGGCTTGTGCACTCCTTGCCTTGGAAATGCCCGCTTTGTGGTTGTTTACAGGGGCAGTGCACAATTTCTTCATCAGTGGCTCCCTCGGCTCCTCACATGGTTCGTTGGTGGTCTCCGTTGTCATGTGTCCCGCAGGGACAGCCAATACTGCAACCACCCAAGTGTGCGAGGTGTTAAGGCAGGGTTAAGGCAGGGGTAGGGAACCATTTTCTTACCGAGGGCTGGATAGGACTTGCAAACATTGGAGGTCACACATTAAACATACAGTGGAGTCACTTTTGTAATATAAAGAAGCCCTTGCAAAGAGGGATGTGACCGAGCATGATAAAATTATAAAGTGTTGCCACGTTCAAAATATTGGCGTCTCGTCGCAAATTCGTGTCTAAGATGCTTGCAGTGACAAATAAATATTTGCAGGCCATTTTCTAGTGGCAGCCCTCATGACCATGGACCGTATAGGATGAAGTTGAGGGCCAAGCCATAGGCTCCCCACCTGAGTTAAGGTAATTATTTGACATTATTGGAAGACAAGCATTTAGCCCGTCCAAGGACGGGTGTATTGTAGTAAATCTGAAACTTCCAAGCGAAAACCACACCGCAACGTGATATTCGTTGCATGAATGCACATGCAATTTGTAAGGGCGTGGTGACACAGACCTATTTCATTTTAAGGTTATAATCCCTTGTTCATCATGACGTCCTTTTTACTTTGATGTCTCAATAGCGTTACGGAGATTGCGTGACGTGAGGGTTCTTCCTTTGTAATGAGGGTTGTAAGTTGACGCAGAGGAGGGGGGAGGAGGCGCATTGGCCCCCCATGTGGAGTGACGTCAGCCGCTAATTATTATGAATGGGGGGGGGGGATGTGTCCATTTGGAGGACGTCACCTGCTCATGAATATTAATGAGGGGGGCTGGTCGAAATGGAGTGCCGTCACGAGCATTAAGGACAGACATTCCTGGGTGATTATAGTAGGTGTTATACTCCAGGAAATAAATTCCAGTTGCACTGCTTTGTATTTATACACCACAAACATCCATGAAGCAAGTTCAAATCCCGTGCACATTTTAGCAGTGTCATGTCCACAAGAACAAAATTACATTTTAAATATCAAAACATTCTATCTTTTGGTAATGTTTCATCGCATCAAGTCCTGACCTTGCTGCCCATTGTGCATGGCTAGCAGGATAGGCTGGCCCATGCTGCCTCCACTAAGCGCCGCTTGTAGGTTGCCCAGCTGAACGCCATCCGCTAGGATGGTGATGACTCGCTGGCCTCCGACCCCTGACACCTGCTGTATGGCAGCATCCACCGCATCAGTTTCGGTGGTAACCACCTCCTCTGCCACTGCAGCCACAATCAGGCATGTGCAAGCATGAAAAATACACAAACATAAGATCATTCCAAACTAACCACAAGTCTCTTACCAATCTAGTAATGTTAAAAACACTGCAAAAACAATGTAATTACTGTACACTTCAGGTATGATTAAAATTATCTACTATAATCACCCCAAAAATGTCTGTCCGTCCCGCGCGTGACATCACTCCACATGAGCCCCACCCCCCTCATTAATATTCATGAGTGGGTGGACTTTTACACGAAGGTAGAGGAAGGTCAAGCTTAATTAAATAATGTATTACACAGTCGCTTCAAATAGGACATTCTTTACAGAAAGTGACAGTAAAATATAAATCTGTGAAGCAGTGCTACATCTGTGCATGACGTCACTGCAAAAGAGCCCCTCCCTCTTCATTAATATTCATGCCCGCGTGGAAATTTACACGAACGCACAAGGTCGCGTACTCCACATGCCGCACCTCTCCCCTCATTAATAATCATGAGCGGGTGACGTCACTACATGCCGCACTCCTCCCCAATAACCATTAGCGGGTGTCGTCACTCCACATGGGGCAAACCCCCCCCCTCATTAATAATCATGAGCTGAACAATTTTTCTATTGAATATTTAAGATTTACTGCAATATACACCCATCTTTGGACGGGCAAAAAAGCTAGTTCTCAAATGTTTACAATATTTCATTTATAAGACTAAATTCTGTATAATGCATGAACGATAAATATATTCAGGTATTACTGCACTGCACATTTAGGCCTAATTTTCATACCCAAATAAGACACGCCTTTTTGAATTTATCACTCTTCACAATTCCAAGGCAAATAAAGCCAATACCTGTTTCACACACCTGATGATTTGTAAACACAACCTGGTGGGTTGAGGACTGAAGTTTAAGCTCCTATCTAAATCCATCCCTTAATGGGTTTTTTTACATGCAGTAAACACCATTCTTATTTTTACGCTATGCATCTGTGCTTGCAAAAATATGGTACATCAAAAATTGTTCAATACTGAATTGAGGAACAAACGAGCCTGTGCCACACTTACCCACTCCCTGCTGCTTGTTGCCCCAATTAAGCGAGAGCTTCCCACCTTCACTGACTGTGAAGGTGGAGGTGCACCCGTCTGTGCCTACAGTCTGAGCCTGCGAGGCCACCAGGCCCTGGGATTCCAGCCACGTCCAAGTCTCCTGTGCCGATGACACCACTGCAGGAAGGTAGGAGTGGTAGAGAGGTGTTGGGGAAAAGGGGAGGATCAGGCAGTGGAATACATGTTTATGATAAACAATAGCGATTATAGCACTCACTTCATTGGCTAGGTGATGTAATGTGAGTATATAACCACCTCACGGTCCCAGGCAGACAAACAAAAGATTAAACTGATTGACAATGAAGACTGATCATTGTAGCAACACAAGTATATTATTTTATGAGAATAGGGTTTTTCCCCTTTTTTTGGCAACAAACCTGAAACCTTTTTACGAGGATTCATGTCTGCATTAACCACAATACCTGCAGTCAAAATGCAAACAAAAAACATAATATGAAAATATATGCATTGTCCTTGAAACTGATTGGTCCACACCAAGAGCTGTGTACGCCTTTTGGCGTCATCTGGTCGAGCACCAATTGGGTCAAGGTTCAAAAGAAAGCCATCCCTTGGTGTGGACCAATCAGTTTCAAGGACAATGCATACATTTTCATAGTATGTTTTTGTTTGCATTTTGACTGCAGGTATTGTGGTTAATGCAGACATGAATCCTTGTAAAAAGGTTTCAGTTATGTTGCCAAAAAAAGAGGAAAAACCCTATTCTCATATTTTGGTACTGGCAAAGGAGGTCTAATATATAATTTTATGTTATATCAATAATATCATTTTGCTATTCAATATTTGGGTGGTGAACCACTGGGCTCAGCTGTGATCATGTGTTTTTTTTACGTCATTTATTCACAAATAAAAGCTTCATTCAAGTTTAATGAAACTTAAGAGGTTGCTGCATTGAAATTTTTACCAATTCCTTTTCAATAACAATAATTCCACTTGTAATACACACACTATTCACTCACTTTCAAGAGAGAACAACTCGAAGGGACGAGGAACCGCACACAGGCAGGAAGGCAGCCTAGTGGGCAGCCAGCACCAACAATTGCCCAAGCTCTGCGGGTTCTCCATATATTTAGGTGTTATCAGTCAATTAATGAGTATTTAGATGTGGGATGAAACCAGAGCATGCAGAGAAAACCCGCGCGTGTGGGGGGGGCAACACAATCCAATACAGACTGAACAGGCGTAGTGGATATTACTGCACTACCTTTTAATGGCAAGCCCGGGTAAAGCACTGATACCCACGGGATGGGCGTTTCACAACATGTGTGTGATCCACCAACCCTTTCCTTCATAGTTTTAGATTACAGGAATGCACTTCCATTGCCCGTACAGTGGTGAGAGTGGAAACTGGAAGTGCAAACACCCCAAGTTCTGCACAGACAGGTTAGGAATTATCTTCTCCTGGCCACCTAACAAGCGAGCAGGTTTGAAAATGATCCACCAACCATTGCCTAGAAATTTCTGCACTCCAAGCATGTGCCAACTCATCAATGTCATATATGTACACTCTACAGCATATAAAGTTTTTTCGCTTGTGGAGGCCACATTTATTTGAAAAGTATGTTTTAAAACAAAGGTAATGCCTTAAAAATGGGCTTTGCAGGCATATGCTTTTGCAATCTGTCTCTGTAATGCTAACCCTACTTCAACTTTCTTCAACTACTTTGACATACACAAACCAATTAGCTTTGGTCAATAGGAAATTCAAAAACAACCAAGCAACCGGTCTTGAAGGAGCATGTTTATGCGGGTACTTAGATAAAGCAACCCCGTTGATAAAAATACGCAAATGTCAAATGGATTTCTTTTGAACAAAGAAAACACCACTCTCAAAGAACACCCACATGAGCTATGCAACCAAACTATCTGAATCATGGGTAGCTGCATTAAGAACAAAGGTGAAAATGCTGTAATTGTATTTCTTAAACCCCATGTGTTTTGTGGCAAATGGGCTGAGAAAGGCCTGCATAATGCATGCTGCGGAAGTCACAATGACGCACAATTTTGCGTAAAACATCTTTTAGTTTTCTGGTAAGTAGCTAAGTGCTCAAACTACAGCACCACCACACCCCATAAAAAATAATGCAGCCACTTTAGTACAAACTAAATGCGTTAACAGTAACAAAGTTGTACATAGCCCCCCACACACACATGACTAACCGTGTGGATTGTATTTATACATAATTTTCACAATAATTTGTATTCTGATGCTGACATGTACACTACAAATAATGACGATATTTGATGCATAAGGTGTTTAATAACTACAGGGTAAGTAAAGAATAAGGAGTACAATTTAAATATGTGTGGGACACGCAGGTGTTGTTGGCATGCTGTACCAGTTGTGTTGGGAGAACTCGTAAGCGGTGCGGAGGCCTCAGCTAGAGCTGCCAATGTAGCCAGCACCGATGTAGATGAGCTGCTGAACTGTACACTCTGGGATGCGCTTTCAGCTGAACCATACATGGGAGCACAACAACGTTAAAACAATCCATTATCTAGCCCCAACAAAAGCATTTGTTTTCATGTCATCATTTTGTTTATGTTTTTGCAAGTGCCTGAAGGCCTGTGGAGTTGCAATGATCCATGCGCATGCAAAATTAATTAAGTGTACAGTAAAACCTTGGATTGCGAGTAACTTGGTCTGCGAGTGCTTTGCAAGAAGAGCAAAAATATTAAATAAATAATTTGATAAAACGAGCGAGGTCTTGCAATACGAGTAGTACGTATACACTTTGTCTGCCGAGCGTCACGTGATCACAACTGATATACGAGTGCTTTGGATTACAAATACGTTTCCGGAACAAATTATGCTTGCAAGCCAATGTTTTATTGTATATATGTATGTTGAACTTCTTTCACACCGTACGTAGCCAACCATGATAATCGGAGATGCGGGAATCGGTGTACTAGATAGGTCAAGAAATGTACGGCTCTTTATCTTGTTTAAAATCAAATTATTTCATTCATCATCAATTGTCTTTCCACTGCTAAATAAAGGCTTCCCCAAAATTTCACTATCCCTCAATGCAAGAAACCCATCGCACTTCTCCCCAAGATCTGATCTCATCTCTGCAGCAGTTGTCTTCTCAGGCACATTTTATCCTTTGGATTAAATTTCATCACCAGTCTTTGCCTATCATCCTTCTCATGTGGCTTGGCAAAGCACACAAATCTATCCTAAACATAAATGACACCTGATTTGCATTTGTTCACTGATCCATGTGCTACTCCTTTCGTCTCTATGTAATTCTAAGAAGATATCTCAATGCTGTTTTGCACACTTCAGCTGTTGCTCCAGCTTTCAATCAGAGTGATGATAAATTGACAAGTATAAGCAACTTACTTTCCAGGTCACAAAAATAACACGACAAAAATCTCTGGGTAACCTTAGCCACAACCCCTTGGTGGTTACTTTCAAATACTGCAATAACTTGTATTGCTTTAATCTGAAATACATTTGCAAAAACTAGATTTATACACATTACCCATGATTTCTACCAAAACAGCCTGTAATTACTCAGTGCTTCAAAAATAGAACAGAAATGCTAAGTGTGACAAGAAAGGAGTTACACTAGCCTGCGTCAACTAATGATTTACACTGCCTGTTTGCTTCCAAATTAGTTTGTCGATATATTTTTCAAATCCACAGCAATGCAGGAAAACTGAGCATAACCAATGCTGTGCTATTTGCTGAAAATTGAAAGACTGCATGAGAACGTTCACATGAGTGTCATTGTGTTATAATATCAGAACTCGTATACATCAATTATTCACATCAAGTATTCACATCAACAACCAAAAATACAATTATGGTCCATCTTCCCTTAATATTACTGTTACACACACCTCCCTCTGGCATGAGAAATATGTAAAGACATTGATGGATGTAGAAACAGATACAGAAAAGATGGCAATTATGCTGGAATGTAACCCAGATACATCTTCACAACCCTACCAGCCACCTAGTGCAGACGTAACCAACCTTATCCATTATCCATTGCACAGTTAAGCGAGTGATGATCTACTAAAAAACTTACTGGCTGCTTTGGTGTTGGATGCAGACACAAGGCCTGCTATGTTCACCATCCCGCTGGGGCTGAAGATGATTTGTGGGGATGACACGGGAATGCCCATGCTGCCAGCACGCTCTAGTGGATTTGTATTCACCTGGTTGGCCATGGCCTCCTGCACAGAGAACACTAGTTACTTTGCAGCAGTTGATTTTGCCAAGTTTTTGCAGTAATTAAAAGGCGGCAAAGATAATTGAACTGTTGCCTTCTGGACAATTAACCACCCAACATATTCCAACCACGCGTAACACAAAAAATAGACACTTAGTTAAATGGCTGAAAATACCTGATCACCACACCAGGCTCTGAGTAGCCCAGCCCCCCCACACAAATCATATTGAATTTGAGCGGGGAACCGTATCGCCCAGCTCTGTTTTGCAAGAAATTCACTACAAAAGGCAAATATATTCTAGATTTGAAGCTTTCGTGACTGCAAGGATCCATACTCTTTGATTCTATTCGGTAAAGTCACGTAGGTAAAAATAAAATAACAAAAAATCACGACGTTTCGGCCACAACACAAGTGGCCTTCATCAGGTGAAGGGACTGGACTGTGCAGAGGACAGCGTTGGAGTGAAGACAGCAAGCCCAGGTTGCGTCCTTTAAGCTGTATATATTTGATGAAGATATTTATTTTTAGACGAACAACATTTAACAAACATTTAAACTGCAAAAACCTGAAATTCTTATGAGCTTTGGGAGATGAAAGCGCCTGACCTGCAGGATGGATAGAAGGTTGGCGTGCCCTCGGTCAGCGGCGATGTCAAGTGCTGTCTTGTCGAATTTGCTCAGTGTGTGCGTGTCAGCAGCGCCGCGCACTAGCGCCTCCACCACGGCACGATGGCCATGCTCCGCAGCCCAGTGAAGCGCCGTCATCTTCAGCATGTCCTTCGCATTCACCTCCGCCCCATTCTGGAAAGGAAGGATGGGTAGTCAGGCAGCGGTCATGGCTTTTGTGTTTTGAGAATAAAAGGGGCAGCAATGAAAATTGAATTTGCTGTATGCCAAATGAAAATAGAATGAAGATGTTGTAATTGTGGTTTTACACTTAAAAAGGTCTGTAGAGGCTGATTGTTGCTGACAAAGGTGATAGTATGGACATTGCATAGGGTGACTCAAGGCAATGTAAAAGTAATTGGTGCTCAAAAAGAAAAAAACTACAGGAAATTGTTCTGCTCTTCGAGTATAATGGCCATTTTTTTTGTATTGGTGCGTTTCCTAACTACGAAAAGCTGCACACCCATATACTATTCCATCCCAACATTGTATTTTCAGATTCATAAATCACAAGGTGGCTAATCAGACTTAAATTGTAGAGGAACATTAAAATTTAATTAAATAATAACTTCAATGTAATTTTCTGTGCCGATGAAGAAGAGATAAGTGTCATTAGCAGAGGTGATCATTTATGGTTTTTAACATTACTCGGGGTAACTTTGAAGGCACCTTGATGAGCAGCTCAACGATGTTAACGTGGCCCTCCGAGGCGGCCATGTGCAGTGGCGTCTTGTCCACCTTGGTGCGGGCATCACGGCTTACACCGGCACGCAGCAGCACCTCCGCCGTTGTGTAGTGTCCATACTGTGCCGCCAGGTGCAATGGCGATGTGCCCAACTGAAGCAAAATTCATTTGACACGATTAATTTATATGCTTGCTTTATGGATTACCGTATACTTTAACAGCTAGGAGAAAATCAAAATTAGTTTACTTGAAAACTGACGACACCAGAAAGACTGTTAGATTCTATGATTATAGTAATAATGATTGTGTTGGGGATATATATCTCAGGTGAATATTAAAAACAATCCACTCTGTAATTCAAATGTTATGTGGATTGGTAAACATTATTTTTTCTTAATTTTCCAACTTAACCATGTTATCGCATGATCAGCTTTGTGTATGTGCCTTTATGACACAAATGAAAATTATATAAACAATGATAATGAATAAAACCACAAATCCTGAGAGATGAAGCTATAAATCTATTTTACAAATGAAAGTGATCCAGAGATGTGACACCAACCCAGTCAGTAGTGAATGGCGCGCCATTTGTCATGAGGGAACGAACTTCATCGTCCTCCCCATTCCGTGCCGCCATGAGCAGGCGCTTGCCCAAGTCCACCAGCGACATCTGCGTTCAATCAGCATAATGCAGGTCACCAATCAGCAAACGTTTATAAGTCACTACACACTCCATTATTGTTGCACAAATGACAGCTCTTAATTGGTACACATGCCAGGATTTTATGACAAGCTGAAAAAATTGTACCACGAAACCTGCCATAACACTAATGAGATGTGGGCTGGTCTAAAAAAAAATCTTAAATAATTTTAACACACTTCTGTCCCATCCACTCAAGTTTCAGGAATTTAATGAGCAGAGAATGCAACAGTAAAAATTGTTTAACTTTTTTTTATGATTACCATACATTAGTTGACTTACATTTATGTATGCGTGATGCAAAATAATAATCCAGGTTTCAAAATACAATACAAGCCCAATATAATATAGTTCATTACACCGTCGGTCAAGTTTCTCGAATTTATTTTGTTACTTTATGTACGCAAGGAAACGTAGCAAATCGTACAAGTGTGTTCACCTGCATACACATGCGTGCTATGGAAAGATAGTTCCATTAAGCACTCGCGTTCAATCCACACACAATAATTACAAGGGATTGGCCGAATATCTCAATTTAGGCTTTCCTGAAAACTCAACTCTTACTACATGTTGAATGTTTGAAAGGACAGCAGCAATCACATGAGTAATAACAATCGAAGCGTTGTTGTATTATACGCCTGCAGAGGGCAGCAGAGCAAAGATTTCATTTGTAAATGAGTACTCTACCGATAAATACTGTACAACATACCTAAAGTCATTTTTTCAACTACAGGTATGTAAATTACAAGTTGGTGACAATGACGGGCTATTGGCACTTTAAATGGCTGTACACCATAAAGATACTTGTGCAATTCAGTAACTTTCTAGAGTTATCAATTATAACACGAGTAGCCGATAACGTGGATGTTATTCAGCACCGCATTATATCAGGCCTTACTGTCATATTGTTAATATACGTTTCTAAAAAGAAGAATTATTCAGCAGTGGCAAGGAAAGATACAATGTTATGCTGACCCCAAACCCGGACTGAAACACATCAGTGTCTACAGTAAAAAATTACCCACATCTGCTTATTAAAACCAGCAGATAATGAAACGAAAATCCTACTTGCTTGGGTAGGTATTTCTACGAGATAAACTGTATGCTGTGTAAAAAACACATGGAAGACATTTCTATTTTGTTTGGCCTGGAAGCACTCTGAATGATTACTGACAGTTATATCGTCTGGGTGACCACCAGGCCATTAGGTCTGGAAGGCTACCGCAACTATATCACAAACCTCAACACAGCCAGTGCAGAGAAAGAAATGTGTAGTGCCCTCCTGGCATTGTATAGGTGGATGTTGGGTGGCCGTCCAGAAAAGAATGCACAGACTGATGGTCAACCACCTGCCAGTAATTAATGTGTGTTATAACGGCCCATTAAAAGGAATATTTATGAAAGAATAACATCTTACATAATGCATACATTCACTGTTTGGACATTCACACTGCAACATAAATATAACACATGGCTTAAGTGATTTTGACTTAAAGCTTGCAGGCTACTGAAAGACCCAAAGAATATTAAGTATTTTTTTTGTAAAAGTGGAATCTACAATTCCTTCATAGGAAACATTGTCATTTGTTAAAATAAACATGACCTCTTGTGAAAATGCGAAAGGCACCCACTCGTGAGAGATAATTGGTAGAACGTAAATCAATTAAATGAAAACCAACAAATTTGGTACATGAAAGGTGAAGGTCAGCTCCAAATAGTGATTACACCACTACAGATGGAATGTCTCATTTTTTTTATGAAAGAATAAGATGTTATTCTTTCATAAATATGCCTTTTAATGGGCCGTTATAACACACATTAAATACTGGCAGGTGGTTGACCATCAGTCTGTGCATTCTTTTCTGGACGGCCACCCAACATCCACCTAAAATCAGGTCTCATTTTTACGGACGATTCTCACACTTATGATACTTTCATGTTTAACATATGCGGAAGCTCACCATCTCCTCACAAGCAATTTACCAATAAATTCCGTGTTGATTAGAAACTTGGCCAATGTCTAACCTAACATGGCTAGGAATTTAATTGGGTACCTTTGGATTCAATGCAGCTTTCCAGGCCCAACATGATTAAAATGTAATAAACAAATTAAGTGGATTTTTTTTACGGCTGCAATTTGCAATTACCTATGTGGCTGTTGAGAACTTGTTAAATACCGCATTTATTTTACCATCTGGGCAAATGTGTATATGATTTAAATCAACTGGAAATAGCACTCCACCATCTGTTGATTCATTCAATTAAAACAATGTCCACTAATGAAATAAACCATATTTCTTACTGGCGCCAGTCAAGTCAATGCAGTTGTCTTTTTGTACCAAAGTAACAATTACATCTTACAAAGAACTGATTTCATTCATATTACAACATGCGGTGGTGCAGCTGTGCATTGGGTAATACACTGCGCTGTGAGACTAGCTACCCGAGTTGATTTCCCAGCCATGGCTAAAATCCGTGGCAAATAAGATTTTAATTGGTCATAGGACCACTCCCGGGACCCCCTACATAAACTGTACTGATTAGCATGGCGAACTGTAGAAACACCCCCACAATGCATAACTGTCAACCCCGTATCAGTGCCTACCTTATTTCATACCAATTCAGACTCTATTGGCCAACCCGTGCCCTTATAAATCTCAACGTTCATCCTACAAAGTACCATCACAAGGGAGAAACACAAAGACAAAATGTGTGTTGTTGCCCGTATTGAAACGGCTGTAGCCGTATGGACCTGAAAACTCAATTTCCCTGTACAAAAATACGGGTATGATAATGAACGCGGCATGAGGAATTCTTCCGGCAATTGATTGTCAAGGGCCTATGAATTCTACATGTACTATACAGTATAAGCCAAGTACCCAGGCAAAAAAAGTGAACAAATCGCATTAAAAACACCACTGAAGTAAAAAATACTGCCATAACCCTGGTTTGTTTTAGCTTAAAAAAATGCTAACAAGGATAATAGCCAAATGTGTAAACGATGTCGGTAATGCTTTTATACTGTACATTTTTTACTCAACCGGCATTCCACATCGCCACATTTTTTTGTGTCTGGAACCCAAGGCTCATAAAAATAAGAGAAAAAGTCAACGGCAAAGACTGGAGTGTGTCCAAGTAAAATCAAGCACACAGCCTTACAGCATTTTTCTCAATGTTCCATGAGAACATTTATTTTCGTTGGCCATGTCTTGTACAGTCAGGGGAAAAAGTATTTGATCCCCTGTTGATTTTGTACGTTTGCCCACTGACAAAGAAATGATCAGTCTATAATTTTAATGGTAGGTTTATTTGAACAGTGAGAGACAGAATAACAAAAAAATCCAGACAAACGCATGTCAAAAATTTTACAAATTGAGGGAAGCAAACAATCAATCAGATTCCAAACTCTCCACCACGGCCAAGACCAAAGAGCTCTCCAAGGATGTCAGGGACAAGATTGTAGACCTACACAAGGCTGGAATGGGCTACAAGACCATTGCCAAGCAGCTTGGTGAGAAGGTGACAACAGTTGGTGCGATTATTCGCAAATGGAAGAAACACAAAAGAACTGTCTATCTCCCTCGGCCTGGGGCTCCATGCAAGATCTCACCTCGTGGAGTTGCAATGATCATGAGAACGGTGAGGAATCAGCCCAGAACTACACGGGAGGATCTTGTCAATGATCTCAAAGCAGCTGGGACCATAGTCACCAATAAAACAATTTTAACACACTACGCCATGAAGGACTGAAATCCTGCAGCGCCCGCAAGGTCCCCCTGCTCAAGAAAGCACGTATACATGCCCGTCTGAAGTTTGCCAATGAACATCTGAATGATTCAGAGGACAACTGGGTGAAAGTGTTGTGGTCAGATGAGACCAAAATGGAGCTCTTTGGCATCAACTCAACTCGCCGTGTTTGGAGGAGGAATGCTGCCTATGACCCCAAGAACACCATCCCCACCGTCAAACATGGAGGTGGAAACATTATGCTTTGGGGGTGTTTTTTCTGCTAAGGGGACAGGATAACTTCACCGCATCAAAGGGACGATGGACGGGGCCCATGTACCGTCAAACCTTGGGTGAGAACCTCCTTCCCTCAGCCAGGGCATTGAAAATGGGTCGTGGATGGGTATTCCAGCATGACAGTGACCCAAAACACATGGCCAAGGCAACAAAGGAGTGGCTCAAGAAGAAGCACATTAAGGTCCTGGAGTGGCCTAGCCAGTCTCCGGACCTTAATCCCATAGAAAATCTGTGGAGGGAGCTGACGGTTCGAATTGCCAAACGTCAGCCTCGAAACCTTAATGACTTGGAGAAGATCTGCAAAGAGGAGTGGGACAAAATCCCTCCTGAGATGTGTGCAAACCTTGTGGCCAACTACAAGAAACCTCTGACCTCTGTGATTGCCAACAAGGGTTTTGCCACCAAGTACTAAGTCATGTTTTGCAGAGGGGTCAAATACTTATTTCCCTCATTAAAATGCAAATCAAGTTATAACATTTTTGACATGCGTTTTTCTGGATTTTGTTGTTGTTATTCTGTCTCTCACTGTTGAAATAATCCTACCATTAAAATTATAGACTGATCATTTCTTTGTCAGTGGGCAAACGTAAAAAATCAGCAGGGGATCAAATACTTTTTTCCTCACTGTAAGGGGCCATACATTTAGTACGTACGCATGGAGGGGGGAGGTGAACACATCGGAAACGGGGGGGGGAGGGGGGTGAAGCCTCGATAATATTAATGCAGCCGGCGGTGGACCATCTGTTTGCTTAAACACGTTAATTAATAGTTTCTGCGTGGATGAACTATCGGCCGTTCTATAGGATTCGGGGGGGTGCGTCAAGCGAACGTACGCAGGTGGGGGGGGGGGGGTGTGAAAAGTACGCGTGCGTACAGGGAGGGGGGGAGGGGTCAAGTTAACATATTTTTGCATACCTACTAAATGGATGGCCCCTAATGCAAATGTGAGTGGCCCTGATAACGTTACAAGAACAAAGGTCCTATTCTCCTCATTATCGCTTCTTATTTGTCAAACCTCCCACCCCCTTTTGTACCACTATAAATGTTATTAAAAACACCATTGTCTTCGCCATTAATAGTAGATTTTCTGCCGAACTAGGTTAAAGTGTTGGCTGTCTTAATGGATGGGTGTTTTCATCTATGCTTGTAAATCAAAGGCAACAGTTTATATTAAATCCCCTAATACGGCGCAATTTTTATGAAATACGTAGATTGACAAAATCTGTTAATTACCGTACACATAAAACAATGCATTGATAACAGCATGCGGTGAGTATTGCCTGAGATTTTTTTTTATCATTCATCAAAGCGGTCGAAAAACTGTTACATTATTACTATATAAATTCAGAACCAAATCTAATCTGACAGTTAATTTGCGTAGCCATTGGTGACAGGGCTGACACTGCCGAGTCGCCAAAACTTAAGAGCCCAGCTGAATTAGGGTTGGGCAGCTGAAACCTGCATTGGAACGGAGGTGGACTTGGCTCAGCGTGATGAACTCTTGAGCCACCAACCACCTCGTGTGAAATTCGATCTAACTTGCCGATTGGTCACGTGTCGAGTGAAGGGCCCCCACCCCTCCCAATGCCCTCCAACCCCTCCCAATGCCCCCCAACCCCTCCCACCCAGCCGCGCATCTGGCCCGCGTCACGCGAAGCCTTCGGAGTTTCCTTAATGGAGGCACGACTCTCCTGCCGGCCAGCTCCACCAGTACAGACCGAGGCTCGACCCACCCGCTAGGCCTTGTCTACCCACACCCCCCCCCCATATATTTATGTGAATTATCGCCAATGTCGTGTATTTTGTTCCCCAACTTAATAGTAACAGTAATAGAGATAATTAAATATTTAAATAAACGCATGTTTTATACAACTGGTGACTATGCATTGTAGGGACACCCGACTGGGACGCCTGTCAGCAGGCCTTTAATTTACTTGACTGGAACCAGTTGACATCTTTACACACACGAAAATATAAGCTTGTTTTTACTAAATCCACTTAAGTAAACTATCTCCATGTCGCGGGTTTATATATTGCAACATTTTGGAAATGAGTAAAGTGCATTTCCAAAATATGATTACTTAATTTTGAAAAGGCCCTACACTGGGGTGGGCACTTCTGCATATGGTTCATAGAACTTGTGAAAACGTCACGGGGGAAATCTTAAATGAGTGGTGTGCGGTGACATTCTCCACTGCTGGATGAACCCCCCCCCCCCGCCGCCGCTAGTTAGTTGAAGGCCTCAAAGCTTCCGTCTGAAGACGTTTTCATGTTTACATGATGGGTAAATAAAAAAATAAAAGCACGCGCGAGTTGGGAGTCCACGGCCATGCATTAACAACAATCATCGAAGCAGCAGTGGCTGCTGGTGGGGATCGGCGGCCCCCTCATCTCTCCCCGGGCTCTCATCGTGCGCATCTCTAATTATGCATCTCCTCCCCCCACCGCCTCCGCCACCGTCCCCCCACCCTATGCGAGTGTTGTCCGCTCTCTCGCTCGCGCTCTCTCTCTTGATGAGCCTTTGTGCCTTTTCCGGGGGAAGTCGACAGATTTCTCGCCCCGCAGTTTAAGAAGAAGAAAAAAGCGGGCGACTTCCACATCCGGTGAGAGAGCGAGCGCGCGCGCGCGGCGACCATGACCTGGAATAACTTCGCCTCCTCGACAACAACAGCCGCGAGCGAGAGGGGCCCCCCTCCTCCCAAGCACGGCTCTTTCTTTCCCGCACGGCTCTTTCTTTCCCGCCCACCCGGCCTCGTCTCGACACTTTCCCGCCTTCGCCTCGCACCCATCGAACCTTCTCCGGCGGGGTGCGTTTTCCCGCCAACATTGCTTTTTTATTTACCCTTTACCTTCGCGAAGCGGCGGCGGCGGTGGTGGCCACTGTGAAGAAGACGACGTCTTGTGTTTTTACCCTCCCCCCCCTGCCCTCTCTGTTAAATGTATTATTTATGTAGGATCCCACGCTGTTAAGTTTTGTTAAAAATGTCCACAAAAAAACCCGTTGACGGCTTTTGTTGTCTTGCGTTCGATGCGTTATCCGTTCGCGTCTACGCCTTTACAATCCACCCCCCCCACTTCTCGTTATCGTTTTACCGAAGTAAGACCGCAGTCGTTTTCGACATATACGCGTTAATGTTTTCCCCTTTTTTAATGTTTAAAGACGATTAAGAATAAAAAAATCGAGAGACTTCGTCCGGAAGAGATTCCACCGGAAGCACATGGCGGCTGTGCGCGGCGTGGACGCGGTCGCCTTTATAATGCGTAGCGCGGATAAGAGCGGCGTCCAATCGCCTCACAGCGCGGTGCCTATGCGCGTTATGGAATCTAAACCCAGTGCTGCCTTTGCAACAATGTTTTTTTTATTTTACCACGGTGACTGAGCACAGGGCCCAAAATGCAAAGTGGCCAGCTGCAAACAAACTATATATAAAAACTATTTTTTAATACCATGTAAGGCCCACTGACCTCTTTTTCAGAAGCAACCTGGCAACAAGTGATAGCCCAATTAAGTGGCTTATGTGGAAATGTATAGCAACCTAATTCTCTCAAGGCATGTTTCTAAATGTGGAGGGGGAAAACCGGAGGACCCAGATAAAAAAGTCCACGCAGCTTCGGGGAGAACATGCAAACTCCAAACATCACTAAAGATAGCGGTTAACTACGTTTAATGAATTTACAAAGGTAAGAATTTGGAGAAAATCATGGGAGATTGAATTCCCAAAAACGCCAAGCGGCCAGCAACAAAAGAACACCAAAGCTGTAATAAAGGGAATTCCCAAGTCGAACAATGCGAGGGAAGAAACAGTGTGATCTGCAGTAGAGGACTTGAACGCAGTATGGATGAGACAAAAGTCAGTGGTTGTCCCTAGTCCTAAACATTGGAGGGTCAATGAGTTAAGTTTATGAAAACAGTAGCTATGATAGAAGCAATAGAAGAGTGATAAGGAAGCGGCTGACTGCTGGTAACCGAGTGACAGGAGTGTATTATTGAGTTCATCAACCTGACTGCTTTACATTGAATTGCTTCCAAGTACAGTGAAGTTTGAACCGGGAGAATTCCAACCTCGGTCGAATATTTGCAGAACTTTGTTCTGTATCGATAAAATAGAAAAAAAAAGCCATATTAACATCAGCTTGTTGGTTTTCCTCACCACTATTAATAAGTTGCAATATGAATCAAGAAAACTCTTCATTTGTTTAGATCATCTGGGTCTCATCAGCTAGCTTGGTAAACAAACGCCATTGCATTACCATAACATCTTGCCCAGATGTTATGGACAAGAGCACTTTAAATAATTATAGGAACGTTCAAAAAGCAATACCATACACAATGTAGACTGAACAATAAAATATTTGTATTTTGGCAACATAATTACATCTCAAGGAGGGTCATTGCCTGACATATTGCCGATTATATATACATTTCCTTTGCGGGCCGTGTTATTGACGAATTTGTTGATGTTTCATTTTGTGCTTGTGCATTTGCAAACGCATCAATAAATGTGTGATCGGCAATCTAAAGCGAGCGCTGCAGTCACTGCAAGAACAGCAAGAAGCCGCCAGCTGCGATGTAACAGTGGGATATCCACCCTTGCTTTTGTCTCCCTGCACATCTGTAGTTGAGAGCCGCTCGCTTCTGCCTCTGCGAGTTTGATTTGCTGGGAGGGATTGTGCAACTCGAAGCGCAATATGGTATTCATATTAAAACGTCTTCAACCCTGCAGTTGCCCTTAAAAGGGTAGCTGAAACCGAGCAACTCGTCTTTATATGTTGTAGCACAATCTTCATCTCAAGAACTTTCTGTAAAATCATAAACTCATTGCCTTAGATTAAGTTAATCGAGATCTTCCACTGTGTTGGCTCTTTATTTAGCATCTACTTAACTGAACTCTTCTATTAAGAGCATCACTGGTCACAAGGTATGCTGCTGTTGGATAAGCAATGCGATGACTTGACCACATCCAAATGAGTTGCTTGATATTTCAAACCCCGCATTTGGATCTGCATACAAAGTCTCAAAACAAAGATCCAAACGAACCTGCCAAATCAATGTTCGAGGCTGGGATGTACAGCAACCAAGGATACATACATAATCTGTTGATGCCTATAGGAGTGAGGTTACTCAAGTTACTCAGAGGAATTTCTCCAAGCTTCGCAGAAAGATTAGAACAGGGGAGCGGTGGGTCCATGGTTTTGAATTGTAGAATTTTTTTTTTGCTCAGACGTGGGCGCTTCGCAGTGGTTTGAGTGAAGTGGCTTGTCGGGTCGCCTGTTGACGCTGATGCGTGGCGAGGTTGGGTGGAGGCGGGGTGGACAAGGGGATGAGGAGGCGGTTCCACTCCTCCACATGATTAATCGGCTGTGAAAAATGTGTGCAGGACGTGACGACAATACGGCACGGTTCTTGAGAGAGTGTGTGTGTGTGCGCGCAATACATTGTTGCAGCGAAAGTTATGTTTTGATGATTGCTCGGTTTAAACTTGTCTTGCTGAAATAATGATTATTATCTTCAGTTAAAGATGCCAATAAAGGCTAACTGGCCCAAAGCAAATATATTTCACGACATATTTTCTGGAATATTAAGATAATTTTGTACTGTTTTAATCTGCAATACATAAAGTGCGTATGCCTATGGCCAATTCACCCGGAATACGACTCATCTCAACAAGATTATAGGCTGCGTTGTCTCGTGTGTGCGTAGCAGAAGGCAGTGTAGCTAAATAAAGAATTGTACGGTACTTTTATGCGACCCCCGCCTCCTACCTGCACTGACCAACGTGAATCAAGATCGCATTACCCCGGCGACTCACAAGACGTGAGAAGGCCCTTATCCAGCAGTGGAGTGACCTAAGGGATCAACATGTTAATGAAACGGCTTACAATGCTCTACAACCGTCGAATGTACAAAGGGGCCGTCCATAAATGACGTCACGCGATTTTGGACGATTTTTGACCCCCCCCACCCCTCGTCATGTCACAAAAAGTCAGACCCCCCCTCATATGACGTCACAAAGCTCTCCCCCTCCCCCAAAAAATAAAACGTGCTGCAAATCGCTTTGAACTATTGTCATTGTGCTTATTTAATGTGGTGCTACACTGATGTAGGAGAAAACATTAAAAAGTCTATTTAATTAAGTAGAACGTGTTGTCTATAAATTTCGATTTAAAGCTTTCGTGACTGCAATGATTCATCTTCTTTGGTTCTTTCGGTAAAGTCACGTAGAATGAGAATAAAATAATAAATTGATAAAATAAAATAACACAATAATATTCTCACGACGTTTCGGCCACAACACAAGCGGCCTTCATCAGGTGAAGGGGCGAGACTGGTAGGACAGCGCTGGAGTGAAAGAGCCACGTTCAGATCACGGCCTTTAAGTGCTGAAATTTGAGGCTTAAAGGCCGTGATCTGAGCGTGGCTCTTTCACTCCAGCGCTGTCCTACCAGACAGTCTCGCCCCTTCACCTGATGAAGGCCGCTTGTGTTGTGGCCGAAACGTCGTGAGAATATTATTGTGTTATTTTATTTTATCAATTTATTATTTTATTCCCATTCTACGTGACTTTACCGAAAGAACCAAAGAAGGTGTTGTCTATATTTAAAGTTGCGCATTTTGATGTGACGTCACATTTCTCAATCCCCCCTCGTCACAAATGTCTGACCCCCCCTAGGTGCGTGACGTCATTTATGGACGGCCCCAAAGAAATTGTGGAGAAAGCATTCGGTTTATGCGCGTCCACGAATTAGTGCCCGTGCACTCCGTGTACTCATTAGTCTTGAAATGGTTAATGATAAATGTAGCAATTAATGATTTGGTAGCAAACATAGCAAGGTTGGTAATTAAAATATATTGGTACACAGTTGTTTTGCTGGTGAACTGATCGTTTTATTTACTTCAATGACAATTAAGCCAAGTGTGCCGAGGTCTTGAAAATAAGCAATATTTCCATGGACCGTTCACGTAAATGCTGCGTGAACAGTCCATGCAATGAGGTGTTCAGAGCCACAGACGTATGATAGGAGCTGTGATTAATACAGCTGACGCCGTGTTCAAATCTAGATGCAAAATAATGGAAGGAGTGCATTCCTGAATGTTCAATAAAGACAACTTGCTCACTTACCCTGTTGTGCTTATTCACCTGTCATTTCCAGCCACCGGTCTTCGTGCATTTGACACTGGTTTTGTAACTGCTCAAGAGTTTGCAATGAAACGGTGCTAAGATGCACCCCTGGAAGAACGTGCAGCCAATGTGTCGGGTAATAGGGAAGGAGGCGCAATGTTCTAGATTTAAAGCTTTCGTGACTGCTAGGATCCATACTCTTTGGTTCTATTGGGTAAAGTCACGTAGGTGAAAATAAAATAACAAAAAATCACGACGTTTCGGCCACAACACAAGCGGCCTTCATCAGGTGAAGGGACGAGACTGTCTGGAGGACAGCGCTGGAGTGGGAGAAGCCACGCTTAGATCACGACCTTTAAGCTGTGTGAGAAGAAAAACACAAAGCGTCTTGACAAAGGAATTAGCATATAATTTAGCATTTAATTTGAACACGGCTTGTTAACATTACATCACACTTCATTTCGTATTTTAAAGAACAAGGGTCACCTGTTAATGAGGTACCGTATTGTATTTGTCTGGTAGTTTTATCCCCATAAAACGTGCTCAACACAGCGTTTTGAAATACAACCACGAATGACTCAATGTTACATTTAATTATTTAGTAACACGACAACCTCGGGGTATCTGTGTTGTAAAGCCCTAATAAATGTGTGAAGATTGCATGAGTTTTAATCGTTATTTGAAATCCTCATCCGTGCTTGGTAATTGTGTATCAATAATAAGCAAACAATGCCTCGTAAAGGGCAAATACAAGAGTACATCCTACATTTCTCGTCCAATACCATTCAATACCGTTGACAGGGCAGGTCTTAGAACGCTCAGTGTTGTTTACGGTTTTAGAATATGAATGATTAGCTCATCTGGCTGAGGCATTGTATTTGTTTAATATATTTAAAAAAATCTAAATGTTTATTTTTGAGTAGTAACACACGAGTCTGAAACACATTCCCACGTTTACTTTGCACCAGATGTTTTATTTTCATTTGTTTTTACGTGGGTGAACTGGCCCTGCCACTTTCTTCCTCCAACCCACATTGATCAACTCGAGGTATGGTCAAACCCCGATGACTGGACACGCCATGAAGCAGTAGAGACCTGTCTCGCAGTTGACTACCCTATATATTTTCACGTGAATGAAACATGCACGTAACTGTATGGGTCCTGTGTAACGCCCGAATCATCCG